CCCCCCCCCCCCCCCCCCCCCCCATGGTCGAGAGTAAACGAAGGGGCAGGAGGACGGAATGAAGAAGAGAGGGGCGTCGAGATCCTTAACGCAGGACGGTGAGGGGGTGCCTGCCACTGAGCAGCCGGACCAGGCAGATCGTAGCAAGAGACAACGGGTGGATCACACATTGGAAACAGTAGAGGTACAGAGTAGCCCAGGCCCTGGGGAGTCTAGTGGGACAATTCGAATGCTCATGTTTGTTCACGGCTGGCTCGTTTGATCAGGACACCGGCGATGAGAGTTTTGGTGGGGCTCTGGAGGCGCTGGACATCACGGGCAACCTTCTCAAGGCAATGATGGAATGCTTCGAGGAAGAAGAAGCAAAGGTGACGGTCCAGTCTGGCTCAGACCCTGCCGTGTGGTTTTATGTTTGTGTTCGGTACGTATTCAGGTTCGTCAGCTGATTGAGAGCAGAAGGACAATCACGATCAGCCAAACAGAGGAAGCGAAGAGGCAGCTACGGGTGCCACTCAGCCACCGTCACACACACGCATGCACGCAGCACATAGTGTGTGTGTCTCTGTGTGCGACGCATGCAGGTCATCGACAGGCACTTTCGCGTCTTGTCGGGTATGATGCTGCTCCACACCACCAAACCAATCGAGACAGCTGCGGAGGAGATGGGTGAGGTGGAAAAGAAGGTCGTTATGATCCAGCAGCACATCAACAGACTCAGACACCACCAGGTCAGTCAACGACACACATGCTCAATAAGTGTGGCGCATTTCGTCAACTGCTGTACTGGTGTGTGTCTCAGCAAGGTGGCCGTGCGTTTCTGCTTGACCTGCCCGACGGCGCCCTGAGCCGCATCTGCTCGTGGCTGACCACTGTGAACAATGTCCACTTACTGCGTGTCAGCCATGACATCCACTCGAGGGCCGTCACGGAGGGTGTGTTCCGCCGATTTGCTGTGGAGGAGGACGACGAACGGTTTTACGACCGTGCGGACGAAGAGTATTTCTATACGCGTACATGCAGTCTCAAGCCTCTGGTAAGATGGCTGACGTGTGAAGCATATTCGAGACCTGGTGAGACATGGTGAGACAGTGTGTGTGCGTGTGTCTTTTTGTGTCTATGCAGTGCACTGCAGTCCAGAAGGCCTACGTGCAAATTCTTTGTCTCTCTCCTGTGATACGCCACTTGCTGGAGGCGTCCAGGGAAACTCTCACACACATAACGCTGAGAGCGAAGGCGTACTCATCGGCTTACGATGAACCGGCCTTGAAGGACGGCCAGTTTCCCATACTCACGCACCTGCACGTCGGGAGGTACTCGAGTGGATGGATCCGTCTCGTCAAGTGAGCAAAAAACGAGTTCTTTAGATGTTGGCACATTCATTTCTGTCGTCGGTGGGGCTGTGCTTATTTGCAGCGAGCGTCAGTGGAGGTTTCCCGCCGTCACCAACCTTCAACTCGGCGCCGACACTTGGGGCGACGGCATCTTGGGCAGATCAGACAGTGCAGCATTCCTGAAGCTGCTTACAGAGGCATCCGAGCTGAAGCGACTTGATATCCCCTTCTACAAGAATCACACCACGCCCGTGCCTTGGACCGACCTCATTGCTGCCCTCGGCAAGTGCCCCCGCCTCACACACATCACAAGCCTGACAGTGCGCATTTACGAATTCCCCCGCCTGATGCAGCTCAAAGACCTCAGCCACCACTGGGCCAAGCCAGAAAACAAATGTGAGCAGATCAAAGCCGCCAAGGGTTCTCAGCATTCCCATGTCCTGTATCCATACTCCATGCAGATGTGCGCAAGAAGCTGGGATTCATCGTCAAGGGTATGCCCAGGCCGACGGAGCAGCAGCCGAGGACGGCCTCGGGGGACAATCCGGATCAGATGCAACGGGAGCTGGCAGCGATGGCACGGAGGATGAGAGGCGAGGGCAGCGACAACATGGATGCCGATGCCGACATGGGCGAGAGGGATGGCGAGGAGAATGTGGCGGCGGTGGAGGGCGGCGATAAAGGTGATGGGAGTGGACAGAAGCAAGACGGCGGCGTCCCACTAGCTGTCGATGCACTGTCCAGCCCGGCTGCGGGCGGCTCGCCGAGCGGTGGCGCGCCCGGCCAGGCTGCAGAAGAAGGTACGAAGCGGAAAATGTAGACACACCCTCCCGATGTCTCTGTATGGCCACAGGTCCCGAAGATGGGCATGCCAGCGGCGACATGAGTGTCTGTGGAGGGGAAGCCGCGGATCCTGCGGACCGAATAGATAGAGCAGAGACGGGTGGTGACGAAGGTGGGGCAAACGCGCCATTCGATTCGAACAGTCAGGAGGGTAGCGACCCAATTGGCGAGGGCCAGGGCAACACGCCACAGTGGGTTGAGTACGTCGGCCGAGATTCCCGCTGCTATTACAATGTGCAGACGGGGCAGAAACAGGTCAGAGAGAGGGAGAGAGAGAGAGAGAGAGCAAGAGCGAGAGTTCACACTGTTCTCTATGTCTCGCCATTAGTCGGAGCGCCCGGCGGGGTTCGTTCCAGATGTCAACACAGTCGTCATCGACAAATCTGATGACCGTGGCGATGACCGCTACGAACGTCAAGACATTTGTTCGATCAGGCCGGACTACGCACAAGACTGGGCCTATCCATGGGCCATCCGCGAATTCAGCAAGTGGGCGGCCGAAGTCAAGTGTGAGCTCGAATGGCGGCCTTTTGAGGGGCAGCTCATCATCGACTGCAGCAGCGACGCTGCAAATGCCCGCACTGCGCCAGACGGCCTATAGGAGACATCGCCACGCAGCTCGCCGCAAGAGCAGAAAGGGTGAGGAAAGGGCAAAATCGATGTCCATGCAACACACCGATTCGTCATTTGTTCGTATGCCAGGTCACGCTGAAACTCGGAGGGACGCCGCTGCATGAGAGCTGGGGTGACCAACTGGTCTTTAACAACGCCAAGATCCTCGTATTTCGTCCCAAGGAGGGCGCGACAGCCTCCGCAGTGGAGCAGAGCATCCCCGAGTGGCTGACCGACAGGGACGGCGAGAAGAGCGTCCGCTTCCCAGCTGTCGTCATGCTCGAAGCCGACATTCGCTCGCTCTCCCTCACTGAGTGTAGCAAGCTCAGTAGTCTCATTGGGGGGCTGGCAACACTCAAGGAAGTCCATTTCCTGATCGTTTGTCTAGCTTCGCTGTAGGGTGTGAGCTGCTCTCCTGCGTCTCTGTCGAGCTGCCGATAATCTGGTTCGATTTTCCCTCTCATCCTCCATGGCCTGCCCCTCCGGACTACGGCCCATACATAAAGGTAGTGCATTCGCACCGGTTAAGGAGCAAGGCAGACGTGCAACAGCTCACTCAGCTGGTGTTGGCAAAACGACCAGTGAGTGTAGACTTGACTATAAGGGTGCCTTGGACTGAGTTTGAGAGTCAGGATGACGAGGGTCGAATTGCTGAAGCCCACTCGTGGTTCAAGCCACTCGGGGCATACTACACTGCAAGCGACAACAGCGGGGTTTGGCCTCATTTTGGGTATGTAGAGATCGTCGCCAGGTTTCTGCTTTCGCGTGCTTGAACATGTGAGCCTGAAAGCTAAATGATTGGTACGTCAGGCAAGGCAATTAGCCCACGGGGGGGCACGTAAAGGCGACGGGGGGAAGGAGGATCGGGGCAATGGCAGGCAGCGGTTGGCTGGCTGACTGTCATGTCTCCATCAAAGGACGGCTGCTTTCTTCTTTGAGTGCTCGACATTGGCTGTCTTCTTTGTGCGTACGCATGCATGGAGCCTTTCGAGGCAGTCAGGGAGTCACATAAAGCATGTTTGTCAGCGGTTTTGCTTTTGATCATGTTGGCTGTGATGGCATCCAAGCTGCATGTCTGGAAGGGAAGGGGCAAGACAGAGAGACATGTAGGGAGGGTGGGAGGGCTAGGACGGCTGACACAGGTAGGAGATTTGAATGTCACACGGCCCGTGTCTCTGTAAGGTTGATCGTGTGTGATGCGCTGTGTGTGTTTGAGGATGATAAGGGCAGTTGTCGGGCTCGTAGATGGTCATGTATTGCATGTGTGTTGTCGGCTGAGCGCTGGCGCGAGAGACTGACAAGGGGGAAGTGAGTGCGATCAAAGAATGACATCCGACAGACGCTATTGCTGATGCGATGCTTGTGGATGAACCGATGTATCCATCCATGGTGGCATGCACCTTCACAGAAGAAGACGCCCGTCAGAGCTCACGGCATCCCGGATGTCATTCATCCATGCACCCGCACACACCTGTCTGACGTGTGCATTTGACCAATGTACACGCACACATTCACACAACTGACTAGAATATTCAACACACCCGACATGAGACGAGCGACCCGCCATCTACAGGCATGTATCAAGTCGCATTATTCATTTGCTCTCTTCCTTAGCTAAGTATTTAGCACGAGACACTGGCTTGAAGTTCACGCAGGTAAGAAGAAGAGAGACAGACTTCTGAGAGACTTCTATGCTGGTTGTGCGTGTTCGTGCGCTGCTCCTGCTTTTGGCCATGTTGGTTGTGTACCTGAGCCATGCGCTGCTTCATATTTGCTGCTGTCTGGTGCCATCTTTCTCACCGGTTCGGCTCTCAGGTGATCCAGATGTGACCGAAATGTTGGTGATAGCACACGGACAAATGCAAGGGTATTCCGCGCCGTCCAGTCATGTCCGAACGCATGAGTCGTGTCCTTGAGCTCCGACCGTCGAATGTCGTTACTGCTGGTTTTCCAAATGCCAGTGACGACGAGAGGACGCCGTAGTGCTTAACGTGTGGAAAAGGACACTAAGGACCGAATGAAGAACCCCTCCATCATCCCACGAAGCGACCCTATACGTGTCCTCTCAAATGGGATTTTCCCGTCGCATCGGACGGCTTGTCTGCACTGCTTTACCTGTAGATGAGCTGTCTCTGCCTTGCCGGTGCCCCTGAATTTCACTCCGTACTGAACATCACTGTGGGATTCCACTCAATGGCTGATTGAATGGCCGGCCAGCAGCAATGTGAGACACGATCGGGGCTGGCTGTTCTGGCAGCATGTAAAACAGACCGTGACGCTGATTGTCTTTCCAAGCGCCACAGTAGATGATTTCGCCGTGAATACTTTCGAATTCTTCTCCATGGCCGTGTCTCTTGCCCTCTTTGAATCCGCCTTCATAGTACTTGCGTCTGTTGCCAAAGTAGTGCCAGCGCTGCCCACGTTGGCCATGTGGCTTGCCGTCCAGGGTGGGGCCGTCGTATCTGTACCCTCCCAATACAGATCCCTTCTTCTCTCCACCTGCCCAGCCGCCGCTGTAGGTCACCTTGCCACAGGTCTCCTCCTTGTACTCCCTGCCCTGCCCATGATACTTTCCATCTTTCCACTCTCCTTCATAGCGTCTTCTCGCCCCAGAGGCTGACAGCAATACTCCCGTTCCGTCAGGCACATCTGTTCCATCCACCTTGCGGGTCAATCCGGGGCAGCGAGGCCGAGTGCCTCCTTCAGCTCGACGGCAGTCTTGAGTTTCATCTCCAGCAGCTCTTTCTCTGCCTACACATACAGGCAGACAGACAGACAGACAGACAGACGGACAGGCAGCCGAGCAGGGATGCAGGGAGGCAGGGAGGCAGATAAGTAGACATAGGTCACAGAAGATGAGTGCGACTCATCGGAAATCAGCGGAAATCAACACTTCAAGTTATCTCTTGCGACTTCAGCGGAAATCAACTCACGCCGCACACCCTGCAACTTGTCCCCTAGTTCGCTGATGCGCTTTGCGCTTTGTCGCTCTGCACACACACAAACGCCTTGTGTCGATTCATCCTTGTGTCAGGTATGAATCGCGTGCTTTGTCACCTCGTTTGCGTCAACTGCTGGAGAATTGTCAACCATCGGCGCATCAATTGTCAGCTACAAGAGCAGAGCAAGCAAGGCCTAACGACGGACTTTCCAAGGGGGCGTCTCGAGCTCGGCCCCCAGACCCCCATCATGATGTCTGAACTTAAGAGACCCTGGTGACGAAGGGGCAGGAGGACGGAATGAAGAAGAGAGGGGCGTCGAGATCCTTAACGCAGGACGGTGAGGGGGTGACTGTCACTGAGCAGCTGGACCAGGCAGATCGTAGCGAGGCCGCAGTGGATCACACATTGGAAGCAGCAGAGGTACAGAGTAGCCCAGGGGACCTCCCGATGCTCATGTTTATTCACGGCTGGCTCGTTTGATCAGGACACCGGCGATGAGAGTTTTGGTGGGGCTTTGGAGGCGCTGGACATCACGGGCAACCTTCTCAAGGCAATGATGGAATGCTTCGAGGAAGAAGAAGCAAAGGTGACGGTCCAGTCTGGCTCAGACCCTGCCGTGTGGTTTTATGTTTGTGTTCGGTACGTATTCAGGTTCGTCAGCTGATTGAGAGCAGAAGGACAATCACGATCAGCCAAACAGATGAAGAGAAGAGGCAGCTACGGGTGCCACTCAGCCACCGACACACACACGCATATACGCAGCAGCATAGTGTGTGTCTTTGTGTGCGACGCATGCAGGTCATCGACAGGCACTTTCGCGTCTTGTCGGGTATGATGCTGCTCCACACCACCAAACCGATCGAGACGGCTGCGGAGCACATGGGTGAGGTGGACAAGAAGGTCGTCATGATCCAGCAGCACATCAACAGACTCAAACACCACGACAAAGACCAGGTCAATCAATGACACATATGCTCAATAAGTGTGGCGCATTTCGTCAACTGCTGTATTTGCTTGTGTCTCAGGAAGGGGGCCGTGCGCTTCTGCTTGGCCTGCCTGACGGCGCCCTGGGACGCATCTCGTCGTGGCTGACCACTGTCAACAATGTCCGCTTGTTGCGGGTCAGCCATGACATCCACTCGAAAGCCGTCACTGAGGGCGTGTTCCGCCGATTCGCTGTGGAGGACGACGAAGCATGTTCTTACAAGCGTGCGGACGAAGCTCGTCGGCGTGCATGGCGTCTGAGGCCCCTGGTGAGAGGCATGACGTGTGACCTACGTGAAAAAAGATATTGGCTTCCGTGGACGGGCTTTTGTGTGTGTGCGTGTGCTTTATGTGTGGCGTCTTGAGGTCGTGGCGGACGGAGAGAATTTCTCTGGGCATACATGGAGTCTCAAAACTCTGGTGAGAGGGCTGACGTGTGAAGCATATTCGAGGCATAGTGGGACATGGTGAAACAGTGTGTGTGCGTGTGTTTGTGTGTGTGTGTGTGTGCAGTGCACAGCAGTCCAGAAGGCCTACGTGCAAATGTGTCGCCTGAATCCTGTGATATTCCCGCTGCTGGAAGCGTCCAAGGAGACACTTACACACATGACGCTGACACTGAAATTTCAGTCGTACTCATCGGCTTACGATGAACCGGCTTTGAAGGACGGCCAGTTTCCCATACTCACGCACCTGGACGTCGGGAGCTACTCGAGTGGATGGATCGAACTCATGGCGTGAGCAAGAGACGAGTTCTTTAGATGTTGGCACATTCATTCGTGTCGTTGATTGGATGTGATTCTCTGCAGCGAGCGTCAGTGGAGGTTTCCGGCCATCACCAACCTGCAAGTCGGCGCCGACACTTGGGGCCACGGCATCTTGGACAGATCAGATCGTGCAGCATTCCTGAAGCTGCTTACAGAGGCATCCGAGCTGAAGCGACTTGATATCCCCTTCTATGAGAACAACACCACGCCCGCGCCCTGGATAGCGCCCCGGCTTTTGGGGCAGACGAGCACCGCATGGACCGACCTCATTGCTGCCCTCGGCAAGTGTTCCCGCCTCACACACATCACAGGCCTGACAGTCCGCATCAACGAACTCCCCCGCCTGATGCAGCTCAAAGATGCCGTCAATCACCACTGGGCCAAGCCGGAGAACAAATGTGAGCGGACCAAAGCCGCCAAGGGTTTTCAGCGTTTGCATGTCCTGTATCCACACTGCATGCAGATGTGTACAAGAAGCTGGGATTCATCGTCAAGGGTATGTCCAGGCCGACGGAGCAAGAGCCGAGGACGGCCTCGGAGGACGATCTCGATCACATGCAACGGGACCCGGCAGCGATGGCACGAGGGCTGGCGCAGAGGGTCGAGGGCGACGAGGCGGCCATGGGCGATAATGACAATGAGACCGTTGCGCAGCGTGAGCTCGGGCCTTCCGCTTCTCCACTATTCAGCTGGCAGGGCCCCCCATTCGGAGGCAGGCGGGAGCCGGGCAGTAGATTCGACTACCGGACCCTAAACACCAGATACAGCTATACGGGCAACCCTAGTACCGGTGAGTTGATGTTTGAGCGTTGGCGAGGAGGAAGGGGCTTCAACATCAACTCTAGACGGCTGAGTGACAAGGTGAGCAGGCCAGCACTCACACACATAAATACCCTTATGCACACATACACAGCCAGACGTGAACGCACACAGACCAGCCACATGTGTGCATGTTGATGCGCCGTGTGTGCGTGTCTCTGTGCAGGTTGCCAGTAGCCGGACTGTGGAGGTCGGGGGCGACGACAACATGGATGCCGACATGGGCCAGAGGGATGGCGAGAAGCAAGACGGCGGCGACCCACGAGCTGTCGATGCACCGTCCAGCCCGGCTGCGGGCGGCTCGCCGTGTGGTGGCGCGCCCGGTCAGGCTGCAAAAAAAGGTACAGCAGCGGCAAATGCACGCACACACTCTCAATGTCTCTGTATGTCCAGGTCCCGAAGATGGGCATGCTAGCGGCGGCATGAGTGTCTGTGGAGGGGAAAAAGCGAATCCTGCGAACCCAATGGATGGAGCAGAGACAAGTGGCGACGAAGGTGGGGCAGAGGCGCCATTCGATTTGAACAGCCAGGAGGACAGCGACCCAATGGGCGAGGGCCAGGGAAACACGCCACAGTGGGTCGAGTACTTCGTACGTCCTGGCTTCCGCCGCTACTATTATAACGTGCAGACGGGGCAGAAACAGGTCAGAGAGAGGGAGAGAGAGAGCGGGAGAGAGAGCTCACACTGTCCTCTATATATGTCTCGCCATTAGTCGGAGCGCCCGGCGGGACTCTGTCCATTCCACAGAGCCGTCCCCGACGTATTTGATGACGTTGAGGACGACCACTACGACCGCCATGGCTTTTGTTCGATCAGGCCGGACTACGCACAAGACTGGGCCTATCCATGGGCCATCCGCGAATTCAGCAAGTGGGCGGCCCAAGTCAAGTGTGAGCTCGAATGGCGGCCTTTTGAGGGGCAGCTCATCATCGACTGCAGCAGCGACGCTGCAAATGCCCGCACTGCGCCAGACGGCCTATACGGAGACATCGCCACGCAGCTCGCCGCTAGAGCCGAAAGGGTGAGGAAAGGGCAAAATCGATGTCCATGTAACACACAGATTTGTCTCTCATCCAGGTCACCTTAAAACTCGGAGGGACGCCGCTGCATGAGAGCTGGGGTGACAAACTGGTCTTTAACAATGCCAAGACACTCGAATTTCATCCCAAGGAGGGTGCGAACACCTTGGAAGTGGAGCAGAGCATCCCTGAGTGGCTGACCGGCAGGGGGGGCGAGAAGGGTGTCCCCTTCCCAGCTGTCACGAGGCTGGACGCCGACATTCGCTCGTTCTCCCTCACTGAGTGCAGCAAGCTCAGTAGTCTCATGCGGGGGCTGACAACACTCAAGGAAGTCCGTTTTCCTAATCGTTTGCCTAGCTTCGCTGTAGGGTGTGAGCTGCTCTTCTGCATCTCTGTCGAGCTGGAGATGGTCTGGTTCGATTTTCCCTTCCATAACCATGACCCTCCCGCCCCTGGCGGCTGCCCGCCATGCATAGAGGTAGTGCACTCGTGCCGTTTGAGAAGCAAGGCAGATGTGCAGCAGCTCACTCAGCTGGTGTTGCTAAAACGGCCAGCGAGTGTAGACTTGACTATAAATGTGCCTTGGACTGAGTTTGAGAGTCGGGATGACAAGGGTCGAAGTGCTGAAGCCCGCTCGTGGTTCAAGCCACTCGATGCATACTATACTGCGAGAGACAACAGCGGGGTCAGGTGTTATTTTGGGTATGTAGAAATCGTCGTCAGCTTTCAGCTTTCGACTGCTTGAATATGAGCCTGAAAGCTGAATGATTGGTACGTCAGGCAAGGCAATTAGCCCACGGGGGGGCACGTAAAGGCGACGGGGGGAAGGAGGATCGGGGCAATGGCAGGCAGCGGTTGGCTGGCTGAATGTCATGTCTCCATCAAAGGACGGCTGCTTTCTTCTTTGAGTGCTCGACATTGGCTGTCTTCTTTGTGCGTACGCATGCATGGAGCCTTTTGAGGCAGTCAGGGAGTCACATGAAGCATGTTTGTCAGCGGTTTTGCTTTTGATCATGTAGGGTGTGATGGCATCCAGGCTCCATGTCTGAACGGGAAGAGGGGACAGACAGACAGACAGACAGACAGACAGCGAGGGAGGGAGGGAGGGAGGGAAAGGGAAGGAAGGAGGGAAGGAGAAGACGGCCGACAGACAGATAGGTGATCTAAAGGTCACTCGGTCCGTGCCTCTGTAAGGTCGATCATGTGTGATGCGCTGTGTGTGTTTGAGGATGATAAGGACAGTGGTGGGGCTCATAGCTTGTCGTTAACTGACCATGTCGTCTCAGCTGTGCGTTGTCTTTGACTGTATCAACCGTCACCATGGTAACACATGTTTCTGTGCTGGCGCGAGACACTGACGAGGGGGAAGTGAGTGCGATCAAAGAATGACATCCGACAGACGCTGTTGCTGATGCGCTGATTGTGGATGAACCGATGTATCCATCCATGGTGGCATGCACCTTCACAGAAGAAGACGCCCGTCAGAGCTCACGGCATCCCGGATGTCATTCATCCATGCACCCGCACACACCTGTCTGACGTGTGCATTTGATCAATGTACACGCACACATTCACACAACTGACTATTCAACACATACACGCCGACATGGGACGAACGAGCGACCGGCCATCTACCGACCAGCATGTATCAATTACTCGACCCCTTGTCAGTCAGTCTGTTTGGTACTAGCTGAGTGGCCCTCTGGCGTCACATCATTTATCTTTTAAGCTGTGTGTCTGACTGAGTAGCAGGCCAGGTGCGCGAGAGCTGCACCGATCCGCTGAAGTCGATTGTGAAATTTCCTATCGTCTTGTCGGGGCATCTGGTGCGCAGCACACGTCGGGAGGTTCCCACGGGCTCGAACACTTCCAGCCTAGATACATGCACATGAAGCCATTAAACATGGGCGCGGCGCGTCGTGTATCCCATTTATGACTCCCACTCACTCTCTCACCTGGTTAGGCCTCGTAGCTTGAGGAGCTGCTGGATGAAGGCATAGAAGTAGTCATCCTCCGACGGCACACCCTCCGGCACTGCAATCAACCAACAGACACTCATCCACAAAGGCCATGATGAAGGCCGTCCGTGTGTGCGTGCATCCGGCTGACGGACCTTTCAGGTAGAGCTGTATCTCGCTAATGGTGGGCAGTGCATCTGGCCTGTCCCCCCAGTCGACCGGCCCGCTCTCGTCCCCCTCTACACGCAGCCTCAGCAACGGCACCCGCGCTGCCCTCCCCAACTCGGCCAGATACGCACTCCAGGCCTCGGCCGACAGCGGCACGCTCCCCGCGTCCACCTGCAGCCTATCCGCACCAATGATCCGCACCAATGGCGCCACGGCGTGACTCCCCAACGTTGTCGTCACACTCAAGGATGTCGCCACCGGGAACGCGCTGTTGGCAAGGTGCTCGAGTGCGCGGGGTCGGGGGATCAATAGAGGTGGCTGCCAGTTTCGTCTGGTGTGGATGGCGACGCTCTCCGCCTTGTCGAATGAGATGGTGGCCGCGACCTCCTTGACGGCGTCGTTGGGTGTCTCGAGGGGCTGCAGGTCGGTCGTGTCACGAGGGGTGATCTTCCACTCGACCGTCAGCGCGGCCGCGGCCAGGCGGATGATGGATTGTTTGATGAAGGAGGTGGCGTCCGCTGGGAGGCGAAACAGGTTGCTCAGGTCGAAGGTCGCAATGCATGTGGGGGCCGAGCCGCCAGTGACCCGCACTTTCTGCGTACGTCGCACCAACTCGTTAAAACGCTCCAACGCTACAAGCATCTATACACGTGGGAATGGGCAACGAGCAAGGCGAGAAATGAGTCGTCGTCTGTGGCATGTATGTCGTGTTTGTTGTTGCTGACTGACCTCTAAGGCGTCCATGTCGGCCTTCATGCGATCGATGAGGTCCACTCGAAGTGATGTTAGCCCACGGCCCTGTACGCCGTCGCAACCCCGCGCAATCAGGACACTCTGAAGACAGACAGACAGACAGACAGCGTCGAGCGGTCGGTCGCCGGTTGTTCCACTGGTCGCCCTCCTTGCCTGCAGTTCATTGATGTCTTGGATGAAATGCCGATCGGAGCTACACTGCACCAAACAAACACGCACAGAGGTCAGTCAATACCTCCACTGACTGCACCGTGATGTGCGTGTCATTTAGTCACCTCTAGCGTGCCGATATCCTCCAGGTTGGCCAGGGGCCTGACCGTTTCACTCTGTCCGGCAGCCCCCTCCCCTCGCCCCGCACGGTCCAGCACCATGGCCTTGTGACGCGGAGGGGAGCACACGTCCAGTCGCCGCAGGGCCGTTGACGTTGACACCCAGGTGGCGAGTCGCAGGGGGTCCGGCGGCTGGTTGGCCGGCGGCGGCTCCCTCTCGACTCTCGCATCGATGATATCCTTCAACGCTGGCATTGTCCACCTCCCCGCCACCACGGCGTGACCGATGCGGAGGCCGGTGACCGTCTCGAGGGAGGGGAGGACCCGTCGACTGCATGATGGATTGGGAATGGCCGGCTCGGTCCTTTGCAGTAGGGGCAGCTCCTGCAGCTCCGCCTGGCTCATGTCAGTCCTGTCCGCCTGCTCGAATGAGATGGTCGTCAGCGTGCCCGCTGCTATCCGCCCTCTCTCCACCATCTCCGCTCGTCCTTCCGCATGCCCGTCAACCACACCGGCAAACGCAGTCATGGCGTAGTTGCCTGGAAGGACAACGCATTCACAAACACATGAAGAGAATACTCGCCATGTATCCACACAGGCATGTGTACCCACCTGTGGTGAGCCCGAGTGGGTATCTGACGATGACAGCGATGAGATGGGCAAGTCTGACACCCCACCGGTGAGCCTCTACATAAGGCATGCGGCGCCAGAAGGTCCGATCTGGCTCGAACCGACCGTCGATGACCAGACGCGTTACGCTGGGCGCCAGGGCAGCCCACGTGGTGCGGGGGAGACCAATGAGCTGGCGGAAAGGCAGGCATGGGAACAACGAGCTCCGAAGGATGGGCTGAATGGAAACACAGGACGACGGAACACGTCATGTGCTTCCTTTGCAGCTGTGTGCATTCGCGTGCAAGGGATGAGGGCAGGACTGCACTGCTGACCAGAGGGATGGATGTGAAGAGGGCATGGAGGTCGATTGCCTCGTCACCAGACTCGTCCTCATCTGAGGCCGTACGGCGGCCACCGGCTCTGGGCGTGAACCGCGGCACCGACAGGCGTCAATGTTTTCCCTCATCCATCATAGCTCCCATTCTCCTCCATCATCCATCGCCGCCGCATCCTGAAGCCATCCCCCCTCAAAACTTAGCCCAAAACTCCAGCTTGCATCATGTAAATCTGCACTTCCGCGTAGTAAACCGGCAGCGCCATGGAGCGGCCAGATCAGGTAGAGCTCAGCAGCCTCACCCGTCGGTCGGACGTCACCATCTTGGACGTGCCGGTGCACCTTCCTTACTCTCTCGGCGAGGATCTTGCGGAGATCCGGCGGCTGGAGAGATACGGCGTGCGGATCCTCACGGCAGATCCATCCGATGGTCGTGGTGGCTTGCAATTGGTGAAGCAGGAGGAGGGGATCAGAGGCGATGACGGGGCGGCGGATGGCGGGGAGGGTCGGATGGATGACGACAGGGAGAGAGAGATCTTCTCGGTGGGTGGCGACCTGAAGATGGAAGGCAAGACATCCCTCCTCATCTTTGGACCGAAGTGAGCATTCGGGGACGGATTGATGGACAGCTGGGGGAGAGGGAGGGTGCAGGGAGCTGCTGGGTTGTTGGCTCTTGCAGGCGGGAGCGGCACATCGTGTCCCTCCTCCTCATGTAGGGCCGGCTGGCTGGCTGACCACCAACACGACACACCACTCAGAACACTCATGGATGGTTGTGCTGTGCCTTGACTGGCTGGCTGCCGACAGGTACAACGTGGGGACGGCTGTGGTTGACTTCTACCCCATCCTCAAGTCGCCCGGCCACACGCCGTCCTACTTGTCAAAGGATGTCAACACCCAGAAGCGCAGCGCCCCGTCACATCACATCGACAGCATCGTCAAGGATCAAGAGGTATGAGACGACGCGTGCGCATGGTTTTGATGGCCATGGTTGGTTACCAATTCCACATGGTGATCTGCACAGGCAGTGTTGGAGGACGTCACAGGTGCGTCCATTCACTGGGTACAGAAACAGCGAGCCGACTGCTACTTCATCACCGGTGCGCATGACGAGAGATGAGATCGGATGAACGAATGGGTGGATGGATGCACAGAGCCCTGTATGTATGTATGTATGTATGCGTGTGTATGTGTGTCAGGTACTGGTGCGGAGCGTTTGATGGCCCAGCGGCTGATCGATGTGTTGATAGCGCAGGCGGGCCGCAGTCCCGAACGACCCTGCCTGCTTCTTCGACAGAGACCTAGTGCTCGAATGGTCTGCATCAAGCGATAAAGGCATGCATGGCGGTCGATGTTTGTGCTGTTCGCGTCTTGTGCAGTGAGCATCTTGTCAAGGAGGTGGAGCTGCCCAGCGGGTCGTGCGCCAGGCTCCTGCCATTCAGACCTGAAGCCGACCCTTACATCGTCGACGAGAGCGCCATCATCGTTCGCGTGCACAACAGGTCAAACGACGCGCACACACAAGAGAAACGTCCGGCATTCACATTCATTCCCTCTCTCTGTGTTTCATGGTCTGTGCAGGCCGGGTGTGTGTGGTCGTGACGTGGAGACGGTTGCGGTGTTTGCCGTGCGTGGGTCGCGGCGCAAGAAGATAGCCAAGTACGTGCACGACCGATTCATACACACATCATCTCGATCCACGTACAAACAAACAACACACACACACACACACACAAATCTCGTGAAGGCCTGCATTTGCGCCCCTTGTATGCATGTGAGCAGCTTTGGCGGGCGCCCTTATGGGTTTCACGATCCTGCTCGTCGCATGAAGGGCCAGAGAGGCCGTCAGTCGCCCTCCACCCCACACAGGAGCCAGTCACGCTCACGCTCACGGTCACCCCCTCGGTACACATCCAGGTGCAACACCAAAGTGGAGGTAAGGTGAGATACAAGGGACGGAAGGCCCCCACATATGTGCCCGCTGCATGTTGCTGGTGGCGTCAGGGCACTGGCAGTGGAGGTGTTGGTGAGCATTCGAAGAGACACGATGGAGGCAGCGACTCGAGCCCACTGCGAAAGGTGAGGCGGGATGGCAACGACCTGTGAGAAAGTACCTGTCTGGCTACGCGGTTGTTGTGCTTGCAGCGGCCCCACACAGCCGCCAGCAAGGACCGCCACCGCCGCTCAGGCTCACCCATATCATCCGGGGTCAGTCAGTCAAACACTCAAATTCGCACCCTCATTGTGGGCGTCGGCAATTAATGCGACACATATGCCTCCCTGTACATGTTTGTGTGTGCAGGATGGCAGCCCCCGTCAGCCTCTCAGTGAGCGGCAGGAGGGCAAGGCCACCACACAGGAGAAGCAGGTGATGAGATGGGGGACGAGATGGATTGAGGAAAGCCCCTGTGTCCTTTTTATTCGTAGCCTCCTGTTCGCGTGTCGTTCTTCGACCTGTCGCACGAGCAGCTGTGTGCCATCTTCACTCACCCACACGCTCCGTCGCCGCTCAAAACACTCGCAAACGACTTCCAACAGGTATGCAGGGCTACACACATCCATCCATTGATTGCATTCGGTTGATGTGTCTGTCTGTCTGTCTGTCTCTCAGGGTTTGGACGGCCATATGGCGTCCCTGCTGCTGGAGAGGGCCTCCAAGGGCATGCTCGCCGACGTGCATACCTGCCCCCTGGGCACCCTGCTCCTCCTTTGTCGTGTGCGTGAGATGATGGGCCAGCAGGGTGGCTGGCCGCCATGTGCCACCTCCAACCAGATCCAGCTCTTCCTCGACAAAGCCTTCCCCGGCGACGGCGGGCCGCGCAGCATCCTGAACAAGACGCCCGAGGACATCGCAGGAATGCTGCAGGAGGAGACATACACGTCCGCAGATCTGGCCGAGAAAGTCATCGAGGTGAGACGGAAGACGATGAATGGATGGATATGTTGTCTCTGTTAATGTGTTTGGTCACCCGTGCAGCATCAGCTGTCGGGTCGTGCGTTGAGTCTGCTGAAGAGGTATGTGGGTGAGCAGGAGGCCATCGACCGTGATGCGGTGCTCAAGGAGGGCGTGTCGTGGCTGCGGCCCTTCGGGGACACTGTGGCCGAGAGGGTGGGTGCGGAGGTCAGGCTGTCCGACCGCATAGACAAGCCACAGGTCTACAGACACATGGCATAGAGGGGGTCAGGGTACGGAGCAAGAGAAGGGCCTGCAGGTGCGTAGCCTTTGAGTCCTCTCTGCATGGGAGTGTGCAGCTGTTGCGATGGATGTGTGTGGTGTGGACCTGTCTGTTTGCCTCTCGGACTTGCCCATTCTCTGGTCTATCTGGATGGAACAAATTTATTGACTGATGTCCATGTGCAAACAAATAAAGATCACACGTATACACAAACACATACATACACACATATGGACGTATGTACGCAGTATGATGATAGGAGAAAGAGCAAAGCGACAGGGAAACAGACAGACAGACAGGCAGACAGCCTATAAATACACCGACATTTCTTCGACAGATGAGTCAGTCACTCAGTCAGTCGGTGAGTCAGTCAGTCCACGGAGACCTCCCTCACTCAACACACCGACCCACCGACCGATTTGCCGATTTGCCAAACACCTTTTCCCCTCCCCTCCCGCTAACAAATGAATATACACCGTTTATGTATGTATGTGAGCCATACCATACCCGCCCTGACGCACCCACACACGCAGTTTTCGCCACACATACAACACACACATTCATCATGCATTGAGTCAGTCACCGACGTGTGCACACCTGTTCATGCAGCATCGATCCAAGTCCGTAGGTAGATAAGACAAGTCAGCCAGCACCCGTCTTGGATCTGACGACTTCGCTGAGCCACAAGTGGACCTGTGTGCGTGTGGTGGGCGACTCCCACACGTTGCGGAGCCACGCGTCCCTCTCGCCCGCGGGGAGCGAATGCAACACACCCAACGCCATGCCGTCCAAATGGTGCTGAATGAATGAATGAATGCAAGCCGAGAACATATAAGGGGATTGGTCACTCTCCCCGAGTGGTGTGCGTTGTTTTGTACCTTCTCGATGTGCAGTAAGCCATCCATTGTGCCGTTGGTCTGCTTGTCCACCGCGTCTTTGACCTCGGCAGCCGTCATGCGGTCGATGTCCGTCTTGATGGGGAAGGTCGACCGCAGCAGCGCCCTGCGACCCTCGTGTGTCATGTCCTCATCACGCAGTCCACCCCGTGAGTCGATCGCGTCCTTGAGGGCAGCCAACAGCAACAGCGAACCTGTCGGAATCAAGATACAGGCAGACGAGTAGTGTGGTGTCCGATGAATTGTTTCTCTTTCCTCTCTCTCGGTATTGTCCACTGACCGAGGCATCTGCCGGATCGGCAGCCGTCCCCCTGATGCGCAGACTGCACGAAGAAGGTCGCCATCCAGCCCTCGACCGCCTGACCCAAGGACAGACAACAGACATGCTACATGTCTATCACACATACATCTGCCACCTTACCTGGTAGCACTGTGCGGCCAGGTGTTTGAGTGGAGAGGGCGCCTCCTCGTGCGACAGCAGACCACACATGTCCTCCCTGGACAGCTTCCCGAAGCCCACCAAACCGCCGCCCGTCCCCTCCCCCTCTCCGCCTGTGTCAGGCTTCTCCTTGACCGCCACGATGCGGACCATCTTGGCCTTGTTGGCGGGAGCCTGGTCTCCTCTGTCGCACGATCGCCGCTTGCGGCTGGTCTGGGGGGTGGTGTCCTCCTTCTTGACGACGACCGGCATGGCGACGGAGTCCACGGGGCTGACGTTGAGGGAGTTGGCCACCTGAGCACCACTGAGCGATCCGGCCCCACGGCCCTGATGCGGAACAAACAGCATAGAGATACAAATCCATTTACCCGTTGGCTGTTGCCTGTTGACTGTTCTCCTGGCCCTTTGTCGCTCACCTTGCGTTTGGTTGCAGTTGGATGAGCCATGTCCGTGCTGCCCTTGATAGCTACGCCCACCTACGTACGCGAGACATCCACACCACACGCACAGTACCACACCATGCGTCAAGAAAGCGTCCATCCGTCTGCTTGTCGGTCCGTGCGTGTGTGTGTACCTTCTTGTGTGTCGCCTCGCTCTTGATGGGTGGCTCATCTTTGACTATGGCGTCGAACGAGTTCTTCACCCGCACCCGCACCTTGCCCGCCCCCTCCCCCTCCCCACTGCCCCTCTTCGCCGCCTCGTCGCCACCATCCGACAGACCCATGACCTCATCCTCCCTGTCCTCCTCCTTGCCGCCCCCACCCCCAGCCCCCTCCTCCACCCCTCTGGTCGGCATCCATCTCTCGTCATGGATGCAGGACGCGTCCCACCACGGCGGGCACAGCGTCTCCTTGTCCGACTTCCACAGCGGATTGATGTGCGGGCCACGCTTGCGCCCACCACCAGACTTCTTGCCGCTGCCCCTCGGTGTGGTGGCCGGCTTGTGGCGGGCGGCAGCGGGCTTGGGAGGGGGTTTGGTTTTGGCCTGCTCGGTCGATGGCTTTTTGGTGTCGGTGGTTGGTGCTTTGGGAGATGCGGGAGGTGCGAGGCCGGGGGGAGGGCCGATGGACGATATGTCGATGGGATGCGGGAGGATTCTCGGGCTACTGCTCCAACACACACACACAGCGAGAGAGAGAGAGCACGACTGGGTGTTGATGGGTCCGTCCGAGTTTGTGAATGCGTGGGTGTTGGTTGTCTGTCGTACGTGGGTGGTTTGACGGGGGGTGCCAGTGCCGGGAACTTCATACATATCTGACGCTCAATGTCCTCCCGCGCCTGGCGGGTCGACGCAAACAACACTACAGACCTGTCCACGACAAACACACAACAAAGGCGGATAGGAATCCATGTGTGCCGTGTTGTTCCGCGCATGGTGCTCTTACGGTCTCTCGTGTAGTTTGATGAGCATGGCATCGTCACTGAATTTCTCGACAAAGTCGAACGCATTCTTGAGATGGGCGGGGTCGAGCGGCAGACAGCACATCAGGTTCGGACTCACCGTCAACCTAAGATACACATACACACAAGTAGAGAGGGAGAATGACACATCTGCGACGAATCTGTGCATGGCTGCCGAACTCCCTGCCCACATGCATACTTGTTTTCGAGTTCTCCGGGCATGATGGATGCGCACGAGAGCAGTTTGCCCGGGTCGGCGGTTTTGTCGCGCCAGGAGTTCATGTGGCACATGATGCGCACCAGCAGCTTGGCCCTCTCGCGCTCTTCGACCGTACCAACCTGACGACACAACCACAACCAACACATAGACAGAGAGGTCGATGTTTTCGTGTGGTGTGTGGGTGTGGGTGTGGGTATCTGCTGGTTTACCTACCAGGAAGATGCAGTTGCCCGAGGGGCCGATCCAGTGCATTCGGGCGTCGCTGTGCAACTCGATCACCTTGCGCTGGCAGCCAGAGAGACAACAACACCACACCCCATCTCATTGGTGCAGATTGGTGCAAACACAGGCCTGCACTGCACGGCTTGTTTTCCGCACCTTTTTGCAGAGTATGCCGAAGTACTTGACGGACCGAGAGTCCATGAGTATCTTATCCTAACACACAGACAGCCAGCACATTGCATGCGAAGGTGTCCAGCGCAATACCCATCCATACGTCCATACGTCTAATTCTATATGGCTGGTGCTTGCTTACGGTGTATACGGCGTCGGGTTGTTTGTTGGGGAGATCGAGCAACTTGTCCGACACACTGAGGGGGTACCGCTGCTGGAGAATGCACCACTTGGACACAAAATCCATCAGCAGCAACGCAACCGAGTGACGGTCGCGCCTACAAGCATCCATCCCCCATCACCACACAAAACGGCACACCCACCCACAGACGGACATACATGCGCCATGCTATTCCCTCCACCTCCCCCCTTGTGTGTCCCTCCCGCCGTGCTGTTCTCACTTTTTGCCGATGATGAGGACCTCCTTGATTCGCACCCTAACGGGCGTGGCGAAGAGCAGCTGCTCCATCTCAGAGTCGCTCTCATCGTGGTGCGCCCCACGCCCCTCCCGCCCCTCGCCACCTGCACCTCCAGGCCGCCCGCTCTGCGCCAGGAAGCAGAACACCGGAAAATCCTTCTCCAGGTGGACGAAGGGCGGCTGGCTGGGCCAGCAGGACGGCAGGTGCAGGATGGTCGAGTCGTCCCGTCCGCGGTGTGCTGTGAATGAGATGCGCTGGTACGGCAGATGGTGGGCCTCGGACCATCTGGCGTCGCTCTCGCGCTCCATGAGTAGGTCGAGGTACTCCTTGGCCCGCTGCCGCTCGGTTTTGCTGCCCTCGCAGCGGATGACCTCGGTTGCCCCGTTGAGCGACGAACCTGTCAAGGTGTCGAACTTGACAGTGGCGATGGTCTCCACACGACGCTACAGCCAGCAACCGCAGACAGACAAGAGATATGCACCCACCAAATTTGCAAACCAAGGTGACTGCTCTCTGCGTGAGGGTGCGGGTGGTTATCATTACCAGGATGGAAGCTCCGTTTTTGTTCTCTTTGATGAACTCGCAGTACTTTCTGCCGAATATCTCAGATGAGCTGCCCATCGTTGGTCGCGAACACCACCAGCCAGCTACTGACGAGGTCGCTGCAAGGGAGGCGGAACGCCGCTACACCTCAGCTACCTGCAACACACACAGACACACAACGCAACGCACACCACTGGTCGGTCCCCTCTCGTGCAGTCAGCAAACAGGCAGGCAGTGGCACCACCATCGCCTCCTTCACCAGCCACAAGCGCAAGCACCTGCATTTTGCCATTCCTTTCGGCCCCTTGTGGTGTGTCGAGGTCGGGCAGCTGTCTGCGCGCACCTGAGAGGCCGCGAGAGGCGGCGTGCGCACCGCGCCGATGAGTCGGTCAACCGCAGTTGTGAAGGTACAGCCACGTGACGGCCGTTAGGAAAGGGCGTCGAAAAAAGAGAATAAGACCATCAAAGGCCTCGCCAGTCAATCTACGTAATCTCGTCAAATTCAGCTGGTACCGGCAGACGAAAGATCGCGAGCTTGCCCGCAGTGTTGTTGACCGTTCGAGATCTGGCACAGAGAAGCTTAGGCCTGCACCGATGGGCAGTACCAAGAAGCCTGGCATGACTGCAGAGCTGCAGGTGCACGAAAGAAGGAGCATTAAACACGATGCTGTGACTGTGTTGCTGTGTGGTGCGTGCAGTCGCTGTACGATGACATCAAGGCAGCGATGCCGCAGCAGCGGCAAAACTACGACAAGTGGCTACTGACGCTGCCCGACGACTTGAAGAAGTCGCTGGTGGGTGACCTCGAGGCCATCGGCCTCTCACTCGACGTGGCCTCGGGCCGCGTGAGCTACATGCCTTCGTTTGAGCCCGTCAAGCTGCCCTACGAGCTGTGCTACATCAGACACGGCAAGACCGAAGGCAACACGGAGCCGCGCATCTACCAGGTGAGAGGGCAGACAAGCACGCTGCCCCTTGAGTGAGATGCATCTTTGTCTGTTTGTTTATGGTTGGTTGCAGGGACAGGTGGACTATCCTGAGAACCAAATCAACGAGATCGGCATCCAACAGGTCACCCTCACGCATTTCACACGCTAATTTTACTGCATGCATGAGCCATGAACCCTGCTGCTGTGCTCTGTTCTGTGTGCTGATGTAGGCCGAGGAGGCAGCTGACAAGATGGAGGCCGAGTACCAGAAGGGGTGGAAGCCCGACCTCATCGTATACAGCCCACTCGGACGGGCTAAGGTCACTCACACAACAATCGCCAACCTTTGTACACCCACACACCCACTCCGGCCTAATGTTGTGGCTGTGGTTGTCTCCTCCCTCAGCACACGGGCGAGGCGTTTGCCAAGCGGCACCCGGACATCCCCACTGTCGTCGTCGACGCCACCAAAGAGATGGCATTCGGCGAGTGGGACAACCTCATGGTACCCACACACCACACCACACACACCATGAGCACAGTCATCCATCTGTGTCGCGTGACGTCACTCCCCCAGGTGAAGGATTTGTGCAAGACGAGCATCGGGCACCTGTTTTACCTGGAGCAGAACGCCATGGTCAAGCCCGACGTGCCGCACAGCAGCCCCTCGGGACCCATACCGGCCGAGAACTTCTGCCAAGTGCTCATCCGACTCAGGCAGGCACTCACCGACATCGGCAAGATGCCGCATCTGCAGGGAAAGCAACACGCCAAGGTGACAAGACACACACACACGCACGAGAAACATTCTCTCTCACATCTCTCTCTGTGTTAGTGCGTTTGTTTGTGTAGGTGTTGATGTACGGGCATTCGATGGCGGGTGCGGCAGTGCAGATGCTGTTGGGTCACGGGATGGGCGACGAGAAGGGCTTGGGGTTCGACGGAAGGTACATCATGCCCAACGCCACGCCCTACATGCTGCCAGCCAAGAAACCTGACACCATCAACAAGGGCGGCTAGGGTAGGGGAGGTGTGGGTGTACTGCTGCTAGTAGGGCAGAGCGGGGCGGGACGGAGTGAGGTAGGGGTATTTTGTGGTGCGTGGGGATTGGTGGCCCGGGTGGTGTCTGTCTGTCTATGGATGGATGGATGTGCTCCCCTTGCTCACAGTTTTGGCAGTTTTCCGTGGTTTCTTGATGTGTTCGTGCGGTGGTGCAGTTTCTTGCGTGTCGATACCTACCTACCCGACGGACATGTCCACTTGTGTTCCACGCGATGATTGATGACCTGTGGACGCTGCCTTCACGTAACACCTCTCCCCTCTCCTCCCTCCCCTGGATCCCTCGGGTAACCCAACCACTCACATGCATACACGCTCACAAAATGGACGCAAACAAGGTCGCAAGTCGACTTTTACACCACCACGACACGCAACGCTGCTGGCTGGCTGTCACGGGCAGACACACACACGACCAGTTAGTTGTCCATTCCCCCCCTCCCTGAGACACACACACTCTCACACACACACACACACACACGCACACACACTGCAGTCGGTCGAGGCATGCATCCATCCCAACTGCACTGCAAGTCAGCAAATCGGTCTGTGGACGAATTAGGTACGTACGGTATGTGTGAAGCTGGCTACCGGTCAGTCAGTCAGTCAGTCAGGTCACTCACGCCCGTCGACGAAGCCACTCACCGACTAAAACTGCCTAACTGGTTGTTTGGTTGTTTGTTCGAAACGGACCCCAAAAAGGCAAAACGACCCGCCCGCACCCCCACCAACCAGCCAGTCGGCCACTCCACTCCCCTCTCTCTGAAACGCAGCTTTCACCTGCCCTGGATCGGTCGGTCGTTGGGTCCACCAGTCATGCAGCCAGCATGCACACGCGGAAGGCACCACACCACACCAGGCAAACAACGAGTCTTGAAAACGTCGTCTCGTCCAGTCCAAAGGAAACGACCGCACCGCACACGGCAACTAGAAAAGGGCGCGTTGACAACCAAACCAAGCGTCCCCACGTCTCTCCGTGTGTCCAGGCAGGTTTTAAGAAGGTGGCGTGACATACGTCTGTGTGTGTATGTGATCGATCATGCATCATCATACACCTTGCTACGCACCGACCTGCCTGTCTCTGCCGGATTCTCTCTCCCCCCTCCCTGCCCCCCTCCCTCTCTCTCTGCCCCAACTAGCGTGCCGAAGCATGTCGTGAATTAAGCTGGTGAGTCGCTCGCGTGTGTGTGCATCCCGGATGATCCCAGCCATATATGGCGGCGTGTGTGGTGTGTGTGGTGTGTAAATCGACTGAGTGACTGATTCGATACGTACCAAAACTGTCCCTCCCCGCACCTTACTTACCGTAGGGAGGGAGGTTATGTATGTACAACACGACAGACTGACAGCGCTCACACTCACGCACACGCACTTACCAGCGAGCATGACAGCCTGCAGCCAATGCAGTCAGCCACACCAAGCCAAGCCAGCCACGACACCAAAATGTGGGCAAGGTATCCCATCCCTCCACTCTCCCCTCCTCACATCCAGCCACATCACATCCATCACATGAGCGCTATCCACAAGAAACAGAGAGAGAGAGAGACATACGGGCATTCATCCAGTCTGCAAAAAGACAGAAATAAGCCAGCCAGGCACACAGAGCTGTCTGCCAGTGTCTGTCTGTTGTGCGGCCGTTGGTAATGGAATGGGATTGTATCGTCCCTCTGTTCAAAACGAGCGGAGGGAGGGTGGGACCTGTCAGTCTGTCTGCCTGTCTGCTATGGTGTACTGCCTACCTCCGCATGAACACCCCGTGCGTCCACGCCTCGTTCACGAGGCCTCTCAATTCCGGTCAGTCAGTCAGTCAGCCAGCCATTCGCGTATGTATGTACGTACGCATCAAAAAGACAGCCAGTGTGTCCACACACACGTGTGTGAGGTAGGCACACAGCCAGACAGACAGACAGACAGCAAAAAAGCAATGGCGGACCGTACCCTACAGCCATTCCACTCATCCAGCCATTCCACTCATCCAGCCATCCACTCATCCATCCATCCAGCCATGCAACATTCACGCACGTGAGTGTATTGCATTCCATGTGTTGGATGTGGTGTGTGTGGGTGAGTTAGTCTGTGTGTCTGTCAGTCTACTCGGCCCCGATTTCGTAGTTTCGGATGTTGCCGTAGTAGGCGTCGGTGAGAATCATCTTCAACTCGCGGACCAACGGGTAACGGGGATTCGTGCCAGTGCACTGACAGACAGACACCATATATATAGCCACACACAAATGTGTCTATCTGTGTATGTGTGTGTATGTGTGTGGGTGAGAATGATTACCCACCTGGTCGTCGAATGCCCTGAGTGCCATGTCGTCGACGGCGGCCATGTAGTCGTCCTCTTTGACGCCGTACTCCTGGATGGACTTGGGGATCCGCAACTGCTCCTTCAGCTTCTCCATCGCAGCAACCAACGCATCCACCTGCACACAACACACAACACAGCACCATCATGCTCTCTCTGTGGCCATGATCAGGGTCTGTCTGTCTGTTCGGTCTCTTCGCGCTGGTTACTTACTTTCTCAGCGTCCGTCATGGATTTGTCCTTTGGTACGATGGCGATGTGCTCGGCCACCTCGGCGTACTGGCGCTGTGCCTTGGGGAAGGAGTACTGGGGGAAGGTCCCCAACTTGGTCGGCGCCTCGCTAGCATTGAACTTGACCACCTACCGAGCCGCACACAGACACACAGACAGACAGACAGACAGACAGAGATGCAGACAATGGAGAGGGGATGGAGGTGTGTGTGTGTGTGTCCACTCCACCTGTGTGAGGACGAGTGCGTTTGCGAGTCCGTGTGGGATGGAGAACGCGCCACCCAACTGATGAGCTATCGAACTGACAACCACACAGCACAACACAAATGCCTACAGTCAGTCCATGGCTGGATGTGTCGTGTCGTGTGGTGTAGCTGACTGGCAGATGCCGAGGAATGCGTTAGCGAATGCGAGTCCGGCGATGGAGGAGGCATTGTGCATGTTCTCGCGGGCGGTGGCGTCGGCCTCGAGCACCGACTTGGGCAGGTTGTCGAATATCAACTTGATCGCACGCAGACTCAAGGCCTGGGTGTAGTCCTGGCAACACACACACACACACACACGTGAGCCACACACCAGACAAAACAAAACGCCCGACAGATGCGATCGATGGAGGGATGCCGTACGTACCGTCGAGAGCATGGACACGTAGGCCTCCAACGCATGAGTGTAGGCGTCGTAGCCCGTGAACGCTGCCAGACCCTAGACACACAACACACACAGACAGACATTCACACCAATTTCTTTCCTCCCTCTCCGTGGGGTGTGTGTGTGTGTGTCATTAGGTCATTCTGTGGACTCTCTCACTCACTCACTGACCTTTGGCATGGTCTGGACGAAGTCGCCGTCCATGATGGCCATGTCGGGTGTCAGGCGGTAGGAGGCGATGGGGTACTTGGTGTGTGTCTTGCTGTCCGTGATGACCGCAAACGGGGTCATCTCGGCACCAGTGCCCGACGTCGTGGGGATCATCACCAATTTCTTCACCTTGCTGCCCAGATTCGGAAACCTGCACACACAAACACATACCCAACACAAACCGCATAAAGAATGGGTGCTGGCTCTCTCCCTCCCTCCCTCGGTGTGTCCGTCCGTGTCTCACTTGATGATGCGCTTGCGGATGTCGAGGAAGCGCGTGTAGAGCTCAGGGACGGTGACCTCGGGGTGCTCGTACACCAGGCGCATGATCTTGGAGGCGTCCATGGGGGAGCCGCCGCCGAATGCGATCATGCAGTCGGGCTTGTACTGCTTCATACGCTCCACACCCGCCATCACCGTCAGGTCGTCGGGGTCGGGCTTGACGTCGGCAAACACCTACACACGCGTAGGCACACACACGGAGAGAGAGAGAGAGAGAGAGAGGAATCCATGCGACACACAGATGGATGGCATGCAAGGAGGGTTCTGATTTCTGTTTTGCTCACGTCATAGTCAATGCCACGTCGCTCCAGGGCGGTCGTGAGCAGCGAAACGTATCCCAGCGACTTCATGGCCTGACCAACGGAACCAACGAACGACATGGGCGGTGCCGTGCAGTCGAGTTACATTTGTGAGTGCTGACCTGGTCGGTGACGATGAATGCCTTCGTGAGTCCGTATCCCTGCAGGTCCTCCATCGCCTCGTGCAGGATGCCGCGGTTGAAGTAGATGGCCGGCGGCACCTTGAACCACAACATGTGCTCGCGACGCTCAGACACCTGCACACACACACACAGAGATAAAGGGAGCCGTATATTGGTGCGTAGGCGGATCGAGGCACACACATCTGATGCATCAATGGAAAAACGGGGGGCTACCTAACTGACTCTCTCTCTGTCTGTCTGTCATGCAAGTCGTCCATCCATACCCTTTCTGCTCTGTCTTGTGGCCAGAGTGTGGCCGGGTCAACGACAACAACACTGTCGCCGCCTCCCTACACCCATCCATTTCATCCAGCCCCCCACATGCATCACACCAACCAGCCTCCCTCCCACCCTCCCTAACTCATTCACTCACTGCCCCCACACATCCTTGTTCAGTTGACCCACCTGTTTGTAGTTGAGGAGGTGTTTGACCGACAGCCCCTCGGCCGTGGCGTTCATGCCCCACGAGCCGCACCCGAGGGACAGCGATGGGCTGGTGCGGAAGTTGTAGAGGTCTCCGATGGCGCCCTGGCTGGTGGGCATGTCGACGAGCACACGGCCGGTGGGCATGCGGCTCTCGAACTTGGCCAGCCGGTCCTTGAAGACCTTGGAGTTCTGGTCGCTGTACAGACACGACGTGTGGCCCATACCGCCGTAACGCACACACACGTACGCCATCTCCACCGCCGCGTCGAAATCCGGAACCCTGCACCAAACCAAACAGAGAGGAGAGGGAGGGAATATTAACACGTTACGTGGTGTGTTGTGTTGTGTTGTGGGTGGATGGGATGGCGTGTGTTGTGTACGTGATGAAGGAGAGGCATGGGCAGAGCTTTTCGTGTGAGAGTTTCTCCGAAGGCCCGATCTCCTTGATCTTGCCGAGGCAGAGGCGGACGCCCTTGGGAGCGCCCTCGATGTTGGCCATCTGGCAGAGCTTCTCGGCCGTCTGCCCAACCGCCTTGGGATTCAGACGGTCGCCGTCCAGCAATATGAAGTCGCCCATCTGATCAGTGTACAGGACAGCAAAGCACTGTGTGCGGCGTGGCGTGTGTGGCATGTGTGGGGGGGATGGGTACCTACCTTGTGTTTCTCCTCCTCGGTCAGGAAGTAAGCGCCTCGCTTCGTGAACTCCTCCTCCACCCGCTTGGCCACAGACTCGACAGCTACCACGCACTGATCACACACACACGACACACAATGGACCGACCGCTCCTCCATCCATGTGTATTCGTTGTCGGGTGTGTCGCGTCACCTGTTCGCTGGCGCAGATCATGCCGCAGTCGAATGTCTTGCTGAGGAGGATGGAGTTGACGGCCAGCGGGATGTCGGCCGTCTCGTCGATGACCGCCGGGGTGTTGCCCGCGCCACCGCCCATCGCTGGCTTGCCTGACGAGTACGCCGCCTTGACCAACCCTCCAGCACCTACACACAAACACATAAGGAGTGTGTCTGCTTAGGACGAATGTGTGCACTCTCGTGTGTGTGTGTGTGTGTGTGTTTGTGATGATGAGGGGCAGGTACCTACCAGTGGCGACGACCATGGAGGCCCTCTTGTGCTGCATGAGCGTGTTGCACATCTCGACAGTGGGGATGTCGATCCAACCGATGCAGTTCTCAGGCGCGCCAGCATCAACGGCCGCATCCCTAACACACAACACAACACAACACAACAAGACGATAACAAAGATGCGTTCTGTGTGTCTGTGGCCTCACGAGTGCCCCCCTCCCCCCGCACACGCACCTGACGATCTTTGCGGTGGCGATGGTGCACCGTGCGGTGCGTGGGTGCGGCGAGAAGACGATGCAGTTGCGGGTCTTGAGCGCCAGGAGTGACTTGAAGATGGTCGTCGATGTGGGGTTGGTGCAGGGCACGATGCCCGCCAGCACACCGATGGGCTCCGCCACTACCTCGAAGCCGCCGGCCTCATCACGGTCAACCACACCACAGGTCTTGGTGTCCTTGTACCTGCAGGTATGTACCACACCACACACAAGACACACCACATCACCCACACCGAACATGACGCGGCCCGGTGCGTGTGCGTGTGTGATGCATGCCATGCCATGGGTCACCCACTTGCTGTGGACGTATTCGGAGGCGAAGTGGTTCTTGATGGTTTTGTCCTCCAGGATGCCCATGCCGCCCTCCTCGACGGCCATCTTGGCGAGCGGCACACGGTGCTGGGCGGCAGCAGTGGCGGCACGGTGGAAGATCTTGTCCACCTGCTCCTGGTTCAACAAACGCATCTTGTCCTGCGCAACGTACACCTGAACAACAGTCACAGACAACACAACGACACGATAAGAGAACGGACACGTGGGGCTTTTGGTGTCTGTTGTGCGTGTGTGCTATGTGCAGCTGACCTCTTCCATGAGGAGGTCGAGGTCTGCGGGCGTCCTGACGACGCCCACACTCTGAGAGGGCTGCACCTCTTGGGCCATGCTGTGCTGTCACTCAATCTCGATGATGTACAACACTACTAAGCTACTCGGATGGGCTCTCAAACTCAAACAAGGTCAACAGCCTCTGAACAGCTGCTGCGATGCGTTCCGTGACGCCTTCCCAATGCGAGCTTAGTAGACCTGTGACCCAATTCATTGTGACTCGAGACAAGCGCGGAGAGCGTTGAGAGATTTGCATCGTGATTGTTGAAGTGCGATAGAAGTTGTCGTGTCAATTGCAGCGATGCCGGCCCCTGTGATAGACGTGGAGGCGTACATCTCCCAGCAGCTGCCCACCCTGCTCTACGATGGCGACGGCAACTTCCTGGCGGGGCCAACCGACCGAACCAAAAAGGTACGCACCTACCGATGGATGGGATGGAAACCACACACACAACAGACAGTGGAAGCAGCCATCCTTTGTGGTGTGTGGGTGTGTGGTTCAGGTGTGGACTAGGTGCACGGAGTTGCTGAAGGAGGAGCTGGCCAAGGGTGGCACACTCGACGTCGACAACAAAACCATCTCATACGTACGTACCAACACGCAAGCAATACACAGACGCACACAGAGAGGGAGGGAGGGAGGTGTGTGCGCATTGGGTGTCTGTGTGTCTGTGTGTCTGTCTGTGTGTTGTGTCAGGTGAATGCGTTTGGCGCCGGGTACATCGATAGGGAGAACGAGTTGATCGTCGGTCTGCAGGCTGACGCGCCCCTCAAACGCACCTGCAAGCCACACGGCGGCATCCGCATGGTCCAGGCGTCCCTCGAGTCCGTCGGATCTAAGCTAGACCCGCTCATGGAGGAGGTCAAACAACACAGCACAACACAACAGGGGATCTGATCTGTGTGTGTGTGTGTGTGTCTGTGCAGATCTTCACCAAGCACCGCAAGACGCACAACCAGGGCGTGTTCGACGTGTACGATGACGAGGTAACCACCCAAACCACATCAAACACCCACATGGCATGCAACACAAGACCCTCATGTGTGTTGTGTCTGGGTGCATTGCCTCCCATCTGTCATTCATTCATGTGTTGTTGTGTTTGTCTGTCCTGCAGATGCGCGCGTGTCGTTCGGCTCACATCCTGACGGGTCTGCCGGACTCGTACGGCCGCGGCCGCATCATCGGGGACTACCGCCGCGTGGCCCTCTACGGCATCGACCTGCTCATCGAGGCCAAAAAGGCAGACAAGAAACTCATCGGACCAGAGATGTACACAACCAAAACCAATACATCGACCATCCCTCCGTCCATCCACCTGTGCCTGTGTGTGTGTGCGTGTGTGTGTGTGTGTCAGGAATGAGGACAATTTGCGTCTGCGTGAGGAGATCAGCGAGCAGATTTTGGCGTTCAACCAGCTCAAGGAGATGGGTATGGCGTACGGCATCGACATGTCCAAGCCGGCCCAGAACGCGCAGGAGGCCATCCAGTTCACCTACTTCGCATACCTTGGGGCCATCAAGGAGCAGGACGGCGCCGCCATGTCCCTCGGACGCATGGACTCCTTCTTCGAGACATACATCAGCAAGGACCTCGAGAAGGGATCCATCACGGAGGAGCGAGCACAGGTCGGTGGCGGTGGGGGCTGGGCGGCACTGACTTCATGTACGTACGTACGTACGTACGTCTGTGTGTGTGGTTGTGTTGTGTGCAGGAGTTGATAGACGATTTTGTGATCAAGCTGCGTTTGGTGCGCCACCTTCGCACGCCCGCATTCGAGGACCTCTTCTCAGGTCGGTTGGTGACGCATCGCATCGATACAGACATGGCAACATACATACATACATACAGCACAGCGCATTGCATCGATGTGTCTGCCTGGGTGCATATGTGTGTGTGTGGGTGGGTGGGTGGGTGGGTGTGCATCTGTCAGGGAATCCGACGTGGGTGACGGCGGTGATTGGCGGCATCGATGACAAGGGCACCCACCAGGTCACCAAGACCTCATTCAGGTAAGCTACACACTCACTGACAGCAATACAAACACACTGCATACGACGCACACAGCACATGCCTCTCTCTCTCTCTCTCTGTGGTGGGTGTGGTGTGTGTTGGTTGTGTTGTATGTGAAGGATTTTGAACACGCTGTACAACCTGGGCCCGGCTCCCGAGCCCAACATGACCGTCCTATGGAGCCAGACACTCCCAAAGGTAGGCACGCGCCGTACCATACGCCTCACACCACCCTCCCACAGACACATACACGACACATGGCGTGGCATGGATGTCGTGTCTGTGTGTGCAGGGTTTCAAGGAGTACTGTGCCAAGGTTTCCATCGACACGTCATCCATCCAATACGAAAACGATGGTGGGGCGGACGGAGGGGATGCGTGGACTGGACACAAATGTGATGTGCCTGCCTCGGTGCGGTGCGGTGCGTGTGTATGTGTGTTTGTTTTCGCATTCAGACGTCATGCGTCCGGTGTACGGGGCCGACTACGCCATAGCCTGCTGTGTGAGCGGAATGACCATCGGAAAGCAGATGCAGGTAAGGTACACACACACACACACACACACACATGACAGACAGACAGACATGTATGTGCCTTACCCCTGGCTGCTTGTGTGTGTCTTTAGTTCTTCGGTGCGCGTTGCAACCTCCCCAAGCTGCTCCTCTACACACTCAACGAAGGACGGGACGAAATCTCAGGTAGCTACATCCGCACCGACCGCAGCCACCTCCCTCCCTCCCTCCCTCCCTCCCTACGCACACTCAGCCATATGTTGTGGGTGTGGCGTGCGCATTTGATTTGTGCAGGCAAGCAGGTGGGTCCGAAGTTCAAGAAGTTCAAGGACGGTCCCTTGGACTTCGCCGAGGTGCAAGCTGAGTTCGAGAAGGCCCTCGACTGGCTCATGCGGGTGTACGCCAACACCATGAACTGCATCCACTACATGCACGACAAATACTTCTACGAACGGCTCGAGATGGCCCTCCACGACAGCAATGTCCACCGCTTCATGGCCTACGGCATCGCTGGTACGTCGACCGACCAGCAGCATAGCGTCGTGTGGATGTGTGTGTGTGTGGATCAGGCATATCTGTGATGGCTGACTCGTTGAGTGCGATCAGAGATGCCAAGGTGACGCCTGTGCGCGACGAGCGGGGCATCACGACGGACTTCAAGATAGAGGGCGAGTTCCCCAAGTACGGCAACGATGACGACAGAGTCGACGAACTCGCCAAATGGGTCACGAAAGGTACACTCACCCAGACGCCACGCACGGCACCAAAATGTGTTCTCGTCTGTCCACGCTCATCTGTATGTGTTGTGTATGCTATGTGTGTTAGCTGTGATCACCCGTCTGCGTCAGCACAAGACGTACCGCAACTCTGAGCCCACCCTGTCGGTCCTCACCATCACCTCCAACGTCGTCTACGGCAAGGCCACCGGATCCACACCCGACGGACGCAAGAAGGGAGAACCGTTCGCACCGGGCGCCAACCCAAGTAGCCCAACAACACAACACAACCACACACATGGCATGGCGAGGAACCAACCATTCCATTCCATGCCTGTCGGGTGTTGTGTGGTTTAGTGCATGGCCGTGATGCGAGTGGCGCGTTGGCATCGCTCAACTCGGTGGCCAAGTTGGACTACTCCGACTGCCGTGACGGCATCAGCAACACCTTCTCGCTCGTGCCCACGGCCATCGGCAAGGACGAGACGGCCCGCAAGGAGAACCTCACGGCACTCCTCGACGGATACTTCGGGCAGATGGCACACCACCTCAACGTCAATGTCCTCAACAGAGACACGCTGCTCGATGCCGTCGAGCACCCAGAGGTGCGCCTGGGTGCATGTGGCAACCGAGGGCAGCAACACCGCTGGATTCCTCCTCTCGTATCTCTCGTATGTGTCCGTTTCTCTGTGTGTGCAGAAGTACCCGCAGCTGACGGTGCGTGTGTCGGGTTACGCCGTGCACTTCAACCGGCTGACGCGCGACCAGCAGATGGAGGTCATCGGACGCACCTTCCACACAACCATCTGACATACCACACACACTACAGACACACCGATAGACAGACAGATACCACACCACACGCACCTGCGCCCCGCCCGTGGATGAGTGAGTGAGTGTAACGAATTCGACCCCTGTTGATTGTCGTGGGGAACGGATTCGTTCTTTTTCCTCAAGTACGTACCCAAATGGATGAGATGGATGGATGGATGGACGCACCCACGTGTGATGTGTCGTGGTGGTGTGGGGTGTTGGCTTTTTCTTTTCGTCTGGCCGGCGAGTGGTAGCGAGTGCGAGTCAGTGCACTGGATGCAGCCTTTTACACAGCACGCACAGGCAGTGTGCACCCACGTAACACACTGCCCGTACCCCTGATAAACCACGCGCAGCCCGTTTGTCTGTCTGCCTGCGCGTCCTCTCACCCAAATTTCTCGTGCCTGACTGTCTGTCTGTCTGGCTGGCTGTCCATGGGCTTATCTCTCTGTGATGTGAATACACACATACATACATACCGACCGCAATTCTCCCTTCGCATCGTGCCGTGGTGTGTGTGAGTGCCATTCATTGGTTTGTGCAGGTTTAAGTGATGGCATCCGTACACATACACACACATGGATGGAGTGAGTGACGGTCGTGCGATGGACGTGCGGTGCAGAAAGGACATACGCTCGGACATTTATTCGCCTGACTGACTGACTGCCTGGCTGCCCGGCTGCCTGGCTGGCTGGCTGGCTGGCTGGCTGAGAGTCCAATCTTGACATCTTGTGTGACCAACTGACTTTGCGAGGTAAAGAGAAGGATACCGAGAGCGAGTGGATACATGCACACCTCCCCGCTCCCGAGTGAGTGACCAGTTTTGCCATCTTGATGCATTCTGCATGTACTCACGAAGACCGACCCGCCTGGCTGGCTGGCTGGCTGCCTGTATGCCCGTCCGTGATCGCTTGTCGTCCGGTTGATTGACCTTTTGTTGCGTCTGCGTGGAGGGATGAGAAGAGTAGTGGATGGCGAGCCCCCCAGCCGCAGCCTCAACTCGCCCGTTAGCTGCATGACATGGTGGTGGTGTTTTCAATGCCGGCCCTGTTGTGTGTGCGTGTGCGCCGCCACGACCCCTCGCCCCTCGCTCTCTCTCCCTTGGCTTGACGACCACCCCCGAGGCACGACTAGCTGGCGAATGAGCGGCGGGGACAGTGCTGGTGGGCGGCTCGGGGAGGGGAAGAGAGAGGGGGGATGAGAGGAGGACTGACTGGGCATCTTGTTAACGCTCATGGATGGCGTCCATGCATGCATTCATACATGCGCCTGCATCCCTCCCTCCCTCCCTGTCTGTCTGCCTGCCTGTGTGACTGTCTGGATCTCGAATTAGAGTAGAGAGAGAGCCAGCCAGGTGGCAGGGAGCGAGGGAGGGAGGGAGGGAGTTGGCATTGCTGTGTGGGTGTTTGCTCCCCTCGACACACACGACTCGGAGAGAGGAGCTGCACCAGCAAGCAACGTCACTCACTCCAGGCAGGCAGGCCACAGGCCAGGCCGGCGGGCGTGGTATGCTGTGCCTTTTTAGTAGTAGCCAAAGAAACAAGAGACAGACACCAACGAGCTAGTTCTCACGTGGTTCTGTGTGTCGGACTCAAAGAGCATCAGGGTCAAACTCAAAAGGTATCACACACGCATCGTTGGTGCTGCTGTCCCGTCCGCATTTCACCCGACACACCCAATGGCCATCTGGCATTTCACTTCCAAGGCGCAAAAATGATTTACTTGCGTTGGTGCCGTCACAGACCAATGACCCACACCATGGGTAGAGTTTTGCAAAGAGTTGTGGTTGAGTGTAACAAATCCATTGTTGTCTCACCTCACCCGAGTGTCTCCCTCCCTCCCTCCCTCCCACCCACCATCGCCATCTCTCATCAACACCGACACAGCACAAGCATCTGTCTGCTCGAGGAGCGCACAGCAGGTCAAAATCTGGCCGAGCCCCCACTACTGGCCCACACGCAATCATATGTCCATTCGGCTCCTTCCTCGCCGCGGGCACAAAAACTTACCCAAGGCGAGAAAGAAAGAAACGCACGTCGCAACCGTCACAATATCATCGAGTCTCTACGTGTGTACGTCAGTGGCGCAAGTCACTCACACTTCTGTCTGTGTCACACCTCTTGCATGACACGAATACAGACCGTGCGAAGGCTGGATAAACGCAATAAGTCATCTATTGTCTCACTTCCTTCCCTCCATGACATGACAACCACGAGCGGCACTCACTGTCTGCCCCTAATGTGCATAAAAAGCAGCACACCAACAGAAAATCACCTCACCTTGAAGAAAACAACATATACAGGATACACCTGCTTCCTGCATGGAGACACAATACGCGAATGGCAAGACCGCTCCTGTCTTCGAACTTGGTGTACTGTACGCACCTGTCAAAGACGATGAACTCCTGGTGTTTCTGTTGCGCTGTCGAGCCAACAGCCACCACCGACTAAAATTCAATGTGGCTGCCGGGCTTGGTCGGCGGCTTGTGCCCATTGCAACTCCCAGTAACATAATGAGGGTCACCGATAAGCCCGCGGCACAGAAGGATGCATTTGCTGTCCCTTCCGTAATGGGCTGCCTTGCAGGATGCACCTCAGTCACGATGTGGTAGCCACCTGGATGGACGATCGATCTGTAGATGGGATAGTCGCCTTCCTCACAGGGAAGAAGAGCTGCTGCTCACGATCCTCCTCAGCTTCCTGGCCGTGGAGGGGCCTGGTGATGCGATGCTAGAACTCCATGCCGTTGTGGTAACGCTTGTGTTCGAGCTCTGTCGGACTGCCCATGCGCTGGTTGGCGTGCTGTTCGGGCTGCCCACACCGGCACCCCGCTGAGCTGGCGGACGACATGTTCACACAGCCACACACATGGCGTGTCCTTGGTGCGCGTGTACTCTTTGCTTCACGCACCTGCAAACGAGACCTGAATGCGATCCCTGCCCGACAAGCCCCTCCGGTCGAACTGGTTGAAGTCGAGTTCAAGCTCGTAGCCCTCTGCGCTCCTCCCTTGCACCGCTGAAATCACATCGCTGAACCCGCTGTCCAGGTGCTCGGCCACGGCGCGTCGAAGATCGGCTTCCGTGCGCACGCCGGCGAGTTGCTGCGGGTCCAAGGCGAAAGGGAACTGCGTTGCCCGCGTAGGGCCGGCGAGGAAGAAGAAGTGGATCTGATGGCGTGGAGTGCTCCAAAAGAACGAAAACATCCCTTCCCAAAAATTTGCGAGCTCACGCGAAGAACACAGACATTGAGCTTGCAAGTGTGCGTCTGATTTTCACTTCACAGAAAGGCGTTCCTCGCCTCGAACTATCGCACTACCCATTCCGGTGCCCCACTCGCTCTCAGCTGTTGACCGACACCTGTGGAGCTGTAGAAGACCCAAGCGGACGAGGGGAGCGTCAGAGAGGACAACAGTGGCCCGCCTTTGTTTGTCGAATGGTCTGAGGGTTCCCTGTCTTTCCTGAAGACCCACTGGTAAGCGCCAGAGCACTCCGCATGCGTGCAGCCACCAATGTGAAGCGAGTGGTGATATTGACAGGGATACAACGAGTCTTCGTTTCCCTGTCTGTGTTGCCATCAGGTGAATTGCTGATAGACCTCTTCGTGTATTCGTTGTCGCGATGGACATGCCCAACGGGACCTCAGGCCACCACCACACCGACGTAGACCCTGCCAAAAGCCAAGAAGTCACCCTGACGGACGAGAAGTCACCCGACCGGCCGAAGGATGCCGTCAGTGCTCCCTCGTCGACCGAGACCCCTCTCACCCGGCCCCAGTCCAACAACGGCCACGGAGAGGGCGAGCATCCTCCTGCCCTCGATGTCACAGCCGTCCAGCCACACGTCACATCTGACACAACGGCTGGGTTCTCCGCTGCACCCCCAGCGGCACTTACGCAGGGGTTCTCGCCCCCAGTGTCCAACTTTTCCCCGCCGCCTGTGACGGGCGGCTTCTCCGACCGGCCACCCACCCACACGGGCTTCAGCGATGCCCCTCCGGCGGGGTATGCGGGTGCGGGTGGTGTGCAGTCGGGGTTTCCGGATGCGCCGGGGGCGGGGGCGCTGGCGAGTATTGTGACGGGCGGCAAGGACTTCCGGCGAGAGCTCAACGATAGGAACGTCTTCGTCTTCCATCTCCCGCTGGAATGGAAGGAACACGACCTGCAGAGGGTCAGTTGCGGGTGGTGGGTGGGGACACGACCGAACCCAACACGACATACATATGGAGTGGTCGGCTTCTTGTGTGATGGATGGTTGTTGTCAGGAGTTTGGTGTGTATGGAAACGTGATCAGCACCAAGATCGTGTGCCGCCCCGACGGCGCGTCTCGTGGGTACGGCTTCGTGTGCTATGACAACCCGATCTCGGCGCAGCGAGCCATCAATGCCATGGACGGGCAGCCTGCGGGCCTGCAGGGGCGCAAGCTCAAGGTGTCGCTCAAGAAATCGCCCGAGGAATCAATCCAGCAGGCGGTGGGACAGACGATTCACATGGTCTCAGTGCGCGAGGGTACGCAACTCTGGTGCTATGTTGGTTGTTGTTTGCAGATGCAGGTTGGCGAGAATCGTCAGTGCAGTTTGTTTGTGTTCCACATACCGACAGAATGGACAGAGAGTGATCTAGCAACGGTAAGCAGACCCAACGAACACATGGGACAAACAATGCTTCCATCGCTCGTCTCATCTCTTTGTGTTCAATTGGTTCATGCAGCAATTCACCCCCTACGGCCACGTGACTAGCGTCCGTGTGATGACGACCCCTGAGGGCGTGAGTCGCGGTTTTGGGTTCGTCAACTACGACAACCCCGACGCGGCGCAGCGGGCCATTCAGGGCATGAATGGACACCTCGTCTCCAACGGCAAACGACTCAAGGTAGGTCGCAGCCTCACACCATGCCACTGACATTCACGGCTCTCTTGTGTGTTTCTGTTAGGTGTCGTTGAAGACGCAGTCGTCCGCCGTGGGTGGTGGTGGTGGTGGTTCGGTGAATGGTGGGTCGGCGAGTTCGGTTTCATCTGGTGTGATGAGTCAGTATGGCGGCGGCATGCCCATGCCCATGTACCCGCCGGCGGCCTCATCGCCCAGTCCTCAGGTGACCACGAGTCCACCCGGCTGCACCATCTTCATCTTCTACATCCCATCTGAGTGGGACGACAACACACTCAAACAAGTACGAACCCAACCAGCACGTCAGCAATGCACTCGTTGTGCCGATTCCATCCGTCCATCCATTTGTATGTGTCCGTGCGTTCGCGCTCTCTCTTTTGTCAGCATTTTTCGCACTTCGGTCGCATTGTGTCGGCGACGATTCAGAAGGACGAGGACGGGCGAGGTCGTGGGTTCGGGTTCGTGGGGTTCGACAACCCCATGAGTGCAGTGAGCGCCATACAGGGCATGAATGGATTCGCCGTCGGGGGCAACAAACGACTCAAAGTCTCAATCAAGAAAGGAGAGGAAAGGTGCGGAAATACACGCGGGCTCACAGTACGTATGCGAGACATGTCTTGTGTCTGGATGGGTGTGGTGATGGTGTTCAGGTATGCAGGGCAGCTGCCAACGGTGACGGCCAGTGGCGCCAACGCGTCTCCTCTGGGCGGATTCTCGCAGGTGCGGCCCAACAGCCTCCTTTGTGTATGCATGAATGTCCAACCTTCCATCGACATGTACGCGTGTTTTCTGTGTTCTGTGTGAATCAGGCGTACGGTCCCAACCCCTACGCCGCTGCTGCTGCTGCCTACGGGACGCCTGGCCAAGTAAGCATACCCCCACGTCTGCACACATACGACCCCTACACGTCTGCCTCTCTGCTGTTGCCCACTGCTGCACAGGCACCAGTGGCTGGTCAGGGAGCGGCGGGGACAGCGGCATACGCCCCCTACACCCAGTTGGCGACCGCGGCTCAGCAGCAGCAGCTCATGACGCAGGTGCCCCCAGCGGCCTTCGGGGCGCCAGATCAGTATAGCTACTCGGCTGCCCAGCTGGCACAGATGCAGCAGTATGGGCTGGGTGGGTTCCCGCAGATGGCCATGACGAACCCAGCGGCCGCACAGCAGCACGGCTATGCTCCGGCCAACTACGCGTCAGGAGGCACCCCGACAGCAGCCACAGGTCGCGCGGCCACATACCGGTATGCTCCATACTGACTCTGAGTGATTAGTTAGTGTATGAGTATGCATTGCATTGCATGGATGGAAGCACAGACAGGAAGGGCGGCTGGGTGCTTTGGCTGGATGTCTGTCTGTGTGGCTGGCGCTTCATCTTTTGAATGAACACGTATGTATGTATGTACACATGAATTGGGCGGGCGTGGCGTACGTATGAGGGGATCCGTGTACGTATACAGTACGATACAAACGGTGTATTATCCGTAACCGTACTTACCGTACTTCAACAAGCACAAGACGGTATTATCAGTACTCGCTAAGTCAATACTCGATAAGTAACATATGAACACAGGTACAGGCAGGACCTCCCCGTACCCGTACGAGCAAGTCTTCCGTAAACATACGAGCCAGTATTCCATGCCTCCATACCCCGAGATGCGTCGAGACAATCAATTGGATGTCCTTACATACCTGTCTAGCTCCACGATGCATCACGACACGCCCGTGCTGTCCGAAGAACACATTTGTGTCTCTATCTGTGTCCTCCTTGTGTGTGTGCAGGCCCAACCCGACCCCTCCCCGCGTGCAGCCGGCATCCATCCCAACCTACCCCGACCACCCGGCATACAGCCGGCCCCCTGCCCACCATCTCCACCACCACAGCTACCCGCCACCAGAGACCATCGGCATGCACTGAAAACTGATGGTACGTACCGGCAGGAAATACACTTCGGCGCGTGTGCCTTCCTCATGTGTTGTTGCCTTGTGTTGTGTGTGTGGTTGTGTGTGCGATGGATGCAGCGTGTCGTTGCGTCACGATGTTGTTTGTCCTCGGGTGGAAAAGCACCGAGGGTTGAATAGAGGCATGTCGCTGAGGGAGTGAATATGTGTGTGCATATGAGTGAGTGAATATGGCAGTGAGATCCGCCGCCCCTGCTGCTGCGCTGCTGCTGCTGATGCTGCTGCTGATGCTGCTGATGGCGGTGGTGTGTCGGTGCATGGTTGGTACTTGTACTAGCCTAGACTCTCTATCTCTATCTAGCTGCCTAGCTGTAGCTAATTGGTTGGACTGCTGGCCAAAGCGCTCCTCCTCGCCCTTGACCCCCTGGCTGCCTGTGAGTGCGTGAGTGTCGGCTGACTGCACTGTCTAATCGATCGCACTCCCAGTGCGATCCTGGCTGACAATTGCGTGCGTTCATGGAAGATGATGATGGGACATAGATGACGATGACCATCCGTGGACGGTTCAACCGATCCCTACGTACCTGCCTGGCCTCAGTTTCTCGTCGTGCGTGTTGTGTGCTTGTGTGAGTGAATTGCGTGAGGGCCTGCATACCCGAGTAATGACTGAGTGAGCGAGTGAGTGATCCAGCCAGGGATCCAGCGAGTGAGCGAGCGACAGACAGACAAACAGACATACATACATACAGACAGACAGCTGGTTCGGCGTGTCAAGCCAAGTCTCTTTCTTCAACTTGTGCGTGTCGGTTCGTTTTGTCTGCGTTTTCTTCATCTTCGCTTTTCTTTTAATTCAGCGACACCTGTAAGTAAGACACTCAGACACAGACTGATGAATGAGCAACATGTACACACATGTACGCACACAAACACACCCACACAATCAAGCACGAGTTAGTCACCCGATTGGCCGCACTCACAGCACACACCATGCCGAGCTATGGTTCCTTGCTCATCGTGCTTGGCTGCCTGCTCGCCACTCACACGGCAGGCCAGAGGTACGCAACATGACGGACACCCACCCACCCATCCAGACTGTCCCTGTGCAGTGAGGCGGAGACACTGAACGACGAGCGGCTGATTGAGGACGCGTCCCATCCCTTCTCTGTGGACGTCAACAACAGTGGCGCGGGATCGCTGCTCATCGAGCGCGACAACAGCCACACCAAGCGACACTACCAAAACGCGTTTGTCAAGATGACTGGCGGCGATGTGGAGGTGAAACACATGAATGAAGGAGAGAGAAACAGAAGCTCGGATCTCTTCTTGTGTGCGTGTGTCTGTCGCGTCAGGACAACCTCATCCGTGACGCCATCTGCTCTGGCGAGAAGTACTCGAACCGATGGTTCTACTCCACACAAGACGGCAGGTGTGTGTGCAAAGCGCCGCTGCGCATGCATGGTTTGACGGATGGCTGTATGGCTGGATCTGGTCTTTGTATGTGTGACATCCATGGCTGCAGGTGCGACAAGTACTCTCACTTCACATACCGTGACATGATGCGCGGGAGGACCAAATCCCGAGGCGAGGGCGTCGACGACAGAGACATGGAACGGTTCAGCAGACGGGAGAGGCCCATTCTGATTCCTGGCCAGCCCATGGGCGGCCTCGATGAGGTCTGCAGGAAACTAAGGGGCAGGTGCGAAAAGACACACAGAGACAGCATGTGAATGAATGGGCCACGTGTCTTGTCTGTTGGTATGTATGTGTCTTGTCTGTCCAAACAGGCGCTCGTATTTCGACCCCAACTTGGGTTTCTGCTCGATCCGAGATGAGATTCTCCCTCTCCAAATTTGTCAGACAGCGGTGAGGCCTCGCCGCCCTGTCACTTTCCTACCGTACTGAATGCGCCTGTGCGTTTGCATGTGTGTGTTCAGCTGTTGGAGAACACTCGCGAAGCGCTCCGCAATGAGCTGGGCTTCGAACGCACATCCACACAGCGAATCGGAGGTCGGCATGTCTCTCCACACACATGCATACGGCACATCAACCAAAGACACGGCTCTTGCGTGTCCTGTCTCTGTGTGCAGATCGTTACTGTGAGGTGTTCAGGTGGCCGTATCCGACAGACTCGCGCAAGGCCATGTTGCTGATGGGTATCGAGTCGTTGCTGTCGAGTCAGGCCGAGCAATACCACATCCAACAGGACACACAGGGTGAGATGACCAACACGAACAAAGCTAGCCAGAGAGACGTGTGATGTGTGGCCTGTGTTTGCTGTGTGTGTGTCAGTTTCGAAGCTGGCCGCCTCGCTGCGCAACAAGGCAAAGAGGGAGCAGTCAGGCATTCTGGCCAGGATGAGAGGCATCGCGTGAGAGAACAATGTGGCAGCAGTCTCATGATGATTGTGGATGCACAAGTGACGCACGAGTGACGTACACTCATGTACTGTCGTCATCCATTACATCGAGACCATGAGAAGGGAGAAGTCACATGCAACTCCAATTAGCTGTTGTACTCAGTCTGTCATCCTGCCTCCGACCTCTATGCTTTTGAACCTCACCCGGAGAGAAAGTCGACGAAAAATACCTTTTCTCCTTCCCCTCCCCTCCTCACGAGCTCAGCTCGCAGACCGACAAGTGTGAATTTTGGCGAAGAGGAGCAGAAAGGTCTGTGCTGCGTAGAACAGCGCTGCCTCTGCATGCCTTTGCTGAAAATCGGCCTCATTTGATTCCCTCTGCCAACTCGCCTCAGTCGAGTGTGATCCCCGCGTGTCCAGCTGCCTGAAGAGAAGGGGAGTGATTGTTTCAGCGCGAGAGTGAGTGTGCGTAGGCGGCAAGATCTCGGTCCTGTTCCTTGCCTAGAATCGGTGTCCTGTCGCGCGACTAGCAGCGCACCTTTGTGGGGAGACCGTGATGGGTGCGAGGCCGAGTAGCGAGGTCAAGGTGGCTCACAGCGGAGCAGCGGCAAGCAATGTGGCGGCTCCCGCTGCGAGTGCGAGGCGTCCGGAGTACCCCCCTGGCACAAGCATGATGGACATCCCGCATGACGTAAGCACAAGACGTACGGGATGGAGGAGGACGATGCTGACGTTTGTATGTCCTCTGTGGGTGTTGTTGTTTGTCTCTGCAGGTTGAGTGTCCGATTTGTCTCGAGGTGTTTGAGCGACCGGCCACGCTCTCATGCGGTCATACGTTCTGCTTGTCATGCGTTGCTGGCATGCCCGCCTGCCCCGTGTGCAGGCAAAGCATCGACAACAAGCCTAAGGTGGGATGAGGGAAAACGGCGCACACACGGAGGGGAGTGTTGAAGGTGGGCTCTTCTCGCGTGTTGGTCGTGTTGCAGGAGGATGTGTGTTTCACGCGGCGCCTCACGTCTGAGTCTCGTAAGCGACATCTGAACAGCTACTACACACAAAATCGCTTCACCGGCAGCATTTCATCCTGGTTGTGTCATGGTTGGTTGGTTGGTTTTGCTGTCAGTGTGGTGCCGTTGCGGTGCGAAGGTCCCTCTGGCGGAAGCAAATGCGCATGCCAGCAAGTGCCCCGACTGCATTGAGTCCAGATGCTCCACCGAAAAAGCCAAATACGTCCCGCGTACGCAGCCCAGCCACATCAAGCGCGACATGCATCGAGATTGGACATGCCACCGGTTGTTCTGGTTGATTTGTTTGTCCCTTTGTCAGCGTCGACTCGTTCGGGTGCGTCGTCGTCTGGTGGTGCGTTAGGCTACTACCCCACGGCCACGTCGACCTACGACTGCCCTTTGTGTCCGATGGGGCCCTTCACCGTGCAGCAGCTCATCCGACACTGCGAGCAACACCACTCGTCCGGCAACCGAGCCGCTGTGTAAGTATCCACACACAGACACGTATGCACGGACACACATGACGGTCGTGGTGTCGTGGGTCTGTGTGATTGCAGGTGTCCAATATGCGCGTCGCTTCCGTGGGGCGATCCACATTATTGGAGCCGCAACTTCGTGGTGAGGAGACTGCGTCAAAGGTGGCGATGTGGTGTAGATCTGCGGCCTGAATTCTCTCTGTCAGGCGCATCTGAGGCAGCGACATCGGTACCACGGCGACTACGGACACAGTGCATCCACCAGCAGCTCGGCCGCAGCGAGCGCTGCATCGGTGAGACAGGGAGGGATTGAGGGAAGGAAGACGCCAGCTGATACCACACCTCTCTGCTGGTTGCTTGTTGATGTCAGGGTGTGTTGTATGAGTCTGCCCAGTCGTCCGCTGCCCTGATGGAGTCGGAGGACGTCGTGCTGCAGCGCGTCCTGCTCGAGTCCCTCACCACAGCCAGCCACCCGCCCCCTCCCCCTCCTTCATCGCACCACACCGACGTCAATGCATCCTCGCCTGCAGCTGTCTACGCCGCCCTGTCTGCCTGCACCAACAGCAGCACCACCATCGGCAGCTCCACCACTCAGTCGGGCAGCAGCAGCAGCAGCAGCAGCAGTGAGGGGGGCACCACGAACGACTCGCCGGCGCCATCGCCCGGTTCCTCGCCTGTCATGTCGACACCCCCGCAGCCACGCACTGTCGAGAGCGACTGACTGGTGTGGTGGGTGGGGGTGGGAGGATTATTTAAGGGGGGCGGGGGTTGCTGTTGGTGTGAGTGGAGTGGGTGGGTGGGTGGGTGGGCGGCGTTGCATTTGGCATTTTCTTTGTGCCTTTTTTTACTACTTGTGATGGGTTGGATCATTGGGCTATGGCGTGGCGGTAATTCGTGTCCATCGGTTGTGAGAAGGGATGCGCACTGGCGGGGATGGAATGCTACAATGTTGCTGGCTTGCCTCATTCTGCGCGTCGCAGTTCCGAGTCTCTTTGCTTGCTGCTTGGTAACGCCCTTGACTGTTGCTGTCATCTGTAGCAGCCGAGAGCGTCATCACGCGGCCTTACAAGAGACTCGGAACACCATGCGCATGGAGAGAAAGGCAGAGGCAAGGGAGCAGATCAGCATTCAGCACGCAGTTGCGTCTGTGTGGGTGGGTGTGAGTGCCGTCCCCTGTACCATAAGGCGGGACGACGTGACGTGGGCGTCACCTCTTACTCGTCTCCCGTCATCTTATCTACATATCGCACGGGCACATGCGCACCCGCGACTCGCTCACTATCCATAGTGCGCCACTCCCCTCTTTTTATTCTTCCTTTCTCCCGTGTTGACCACCTAGATGAAACAACATCCAGACAAGGCGTTACTTTTTTTCGCTTCTCGTCCGTCAAAGCGCAACTGATGGTGTGTAGTTTTTTTCTTGAGGAGTGTGTTTGCTAGTCGGGAGCAGAGCAGCCCGCCACCCTACCTACACCGGACTCACCAGAGTGCCCGGATGTACAGTCTACATCACACGGTGTATCGCAGTCACTGCATTGCTCGGCGCTCTGGTCTGCTGCCGGTCGTGTCAGCACACGCACACACACGTATATATACTCCACACACACATGACGGGAGAGGGAGGGTGTAAGGTCGCGTGCCGTGTGTCTTGTTTGTGTCGTTCCATTGTAGCATAGTGATTGTCTGTCTGTCTGTCTGGTCGTCGTGCATACAAACTTGCGTCCATGGAAACACGGGTGAAGATGAGTGGATGGGGAGGGGGGGTCGGGCCGTTATGATATCCATGCCGTGTTGTGTTGTTGTGTGTATTTGTCCATGTCCATTCGCGTCGTCTGTATGATGAAGGACGCCTCTCGCAAGGGCGAGAGGCGTTGGCTCCCACGCACCCGTCCGGCACACGATGAGACAGGTCGCTAGGTGGGCAGTATGCATATTATACATCACGTGTGTCGGTACGGAGGCGCAGTTGTATGGTCGCTGTTCACACCGTTCACACATACACCCAGGCGGTCACTTTTCTTCTTCGGGCACATATCGATGGGCGTATCGTATATATGAGTATTCATATGAATGCGTGTTGCATGGAAGGTGGTCTCACTGAATGGTGATGATGAATGACATCATGGCATTGCATTGTACACTAGCTACGGTAACTGGGCGTGCGTACCTGTGTGTGTCTCACTGACTACACTGCCTGCCTTGCATACTGCCTGTTGAAGTGCGGGCGGCTGCTGCCTTGCTCCCAGCCAAGCCCAGCATGCCACTCTCCCTCCCTCCCCCATTCATGCGCTGCATACGTACATACGTACATGTTGGTGTCGTTTAGTCGATCATACATACATACGTATACACATGACACGCATACGTAACACACGCGCCCGCCACACCACATGCATGACACAACAACAACACACATCACATCGGACTCATTTTTACCCGCGGTGCCGTGTTGTGTGTGGTTTTGACGGACAGCGAGAGGACGGGCGAACAGACACACAGGAACAGACAGACAGACAGACAGTGACAACCGTGGCTGTGGTTGCCATGCGGTCGGTCGCCATGCCTCCGCATTGATGAGTGATGGCGGCTCGTGGCTCTCGACATACGGCCTTCATGTTATGTGTGTGTGCGTGGTTCGTGTCTTTTTCGTGACCACCCCGACCCCTCCTCGTATCGCTTTGACGATGTCTGTCCGTGTTGTGCTGTGAGTGTGTGGGTGGGTTGATTTTGGTGGGCTGACTAGGTGGCTGGCTGGCTGGCTGGGCGGTTTGGCGGTCTTATTCGCTGGAATGTATCTCAATCTCAATATGATGACTCCATCTACCTCCTTTTGTATTTTTGGTTGAACGTAGTCGTCAAACGACACCGGAAAAGACGACAGAGGACACACAGCACCCTTCGTTTGTCTTCGTCTTGCTGCTGCGTGCCTCGTGGATCTCTATGTCGCTTATACCCGTCGATTCGAGCGCACTTCTTTTTAATTCACGCAGCTGCTGGACAGAGAGGGAAGGTGCTCTGGGTGTGGTGGTACTAGTTATGCCTCACCGCCTTGCCAGTCATTCTAGCTAGCGGACATACCCATCCGTTGTGCATGTGCTGTCTGTGACCGACTGACTGTTTGTCTGACTGACTTGCTCCGCTACTCCATGCATGATGTTTGCGTGCCTTTCCGTCTTGGTGTGTACTCGATTTATGAGTGTATCTCTCCCCTCTAACACTGTCAACCGAGCTGCACGCATCGTGGCCACTTTAGCGGCTGTCCCACGCCACCGGGAGTCCGGCGCAGAGGATCCCCGAGCTAACAGACCTGGAGTTACCGCCATCTCGTTGCCATCGTGCGAGGCCCACTTCCCTCCAAGCAGAGATGATAAAGTCCCACCTGAGAACACCGTGTTTTCTTGTCCCCCGCCCGTGTGTTCAGGCTGGCCCTCGCTTAAGCGATTTGTCCCGATGTAATGGATGAGGACAGATATGAATACATGTGTGTACGTCCTCCATTACATCACTTGTGCATCCACAATCATCATGAGACTGCTGCTGTCACATTGTTCTCTCACGCGATGCCTCTCATCCTGGCCAGAATGCCTGACTGCTCCGCCTTTCTGTTGTTGCGCAGCGAAGCGGCCAGCTTCGAAACTGACACACACACAGCCATCACACGTCTCTCTGGCTAGCTTTGTTCGTGTTCGTCATCTCACCCTGTGTGTCCTGTTGGATGTGGTACTGCTCGGCCTGACTCGACAGCAACGACTCGATACCCATCAGCAACATGGCCTTGCGCGGGTCTGTCGGATACGGCCACCTGAACACCTCACAGTAACGATCTGCACACAGAGACAGGACACGAAGGAGCCGTGTCTCTTGTTGTTGATGTGCCTTATGCATGTGTGTGGAGAGAGATGCCGACCTCCGATTCGCTGTGTGGATGTGCGTTCGAAGCCCAGCTCGTTGCGGAGCGCTTCGCGAGTGTTCTCCAACAGCTGAACACACACATGCAAACGCACAGGCGCATTCAGTACGGTAGGAAAGTGACAGGGCGGAGAGGCCTCACCGCTGTCTGACTGATTTGGAGAGGGAGAATCTCATCTCGGATCGAGCAGAAACCCAAGTTGGGGTCGAAATACGAGCGCCTGTTTGGACAGACAAGACACATACATACCAACAGACAAGACACGTGGCCCACTCATTCACATGCTGTCTCTGTGTGTCTTTTCGCACCTGCCCCTTAGTTTCCTGCAGACCTCATCGAGGCCGCCCATGGGCTGGCCAGGAATCAGAATGGGCCTCTCCCGTCTGCTGAACAGTTCCATGTCTCTGTCATCGACGCCCTCGCCTCGGGATTTGGTCCTCCCGCGCATCATGTCACGGTATGTGAAGTGAGAGTACTTGTCGCACCTGCAGCCATGGATGTCACACATACGAAGACCAGATCCAGCCATCCGTCAAACCATGCATGCGCAGCGGCGCTTTGCACACACACCTGCCGTCTTGTGTGGAGTAGAACCATCGGTTGCTGTACTGTCCACCAGAGCAGATGGCGTCGCGGATGAGGTTGTCCTGACACGCACACACAAAGAGATCCGTGCGTCTCGTCCCTCTCCTTCACTCATGTTGTCCACCTCCACATCGCCGCCAGTCATCCTGACAAAGACGTTCTGGTAGTGTCGCTTGGCGTGGCTGCTGTCGCGCTGGATGAGCAGCGATCCCGCGCCACTGTTGTTGACGTCCACAGAGAAGGGATGAGACGCGTCCTCAATCAGCCGCTCGTCGTTCATTGTCTCCACCTCACTGCACAGAGACAAGATGGATGGATGGATGGATGGATGGATGGATGGGTGGGTGTCTCTCTGTCCCTCTGTGCGTGTCCGTCATGTTGTGCACCTCTGGCTGGAGACGGGCAGCACGATGAGCAAGGAACCCCCACATTCAGTACGGAACCGCATGAATCCCTCCCAACCACATCGACAAGAGGGAGGGAGAAAGAGAGAGGATCGTAGTGTACGTGTGCCGGTGGGAACACACGGGGAGACGCAATCACTCACAGAGATATACGCGAGAACAGGTTCGGTACGGACATCCGTGCAATCAGTCCACATACGAATGAACCATGCATGGCAGAGTGTCTGACAACACGGCGTGTGGAAGGCATAAATGACCATACGCAAATCGGCCGATGCACACGCATCGCGCTAGAACGCAGCAGATGTGCTATCGACATGCACAGGTAGACTATCGACAGATTTCCCGTCACTCGCAGTCACGACACCAACACAGAGAGAGGCCAACAAACACATCTCACATGCACCACACAAATCTCTGGGCCGCCGTTTGTTCTCTTGTGTCTCGCGTCCTTGCTGCGACTGTCGTCCCTTCGGCGGCTGGTGGCCCAACGTTGACAGGCGCTCAATGGTCCTCTTGAGTCTCTCGTGGAAGTGGTTGGTCAGCCTAATCGTTGGTCCAAGCGGGCGGGTGTCCTCATTCTGTCTTGAGTGCTGGCTTCTGTCACGTCTGTCTTGCTGTCCCCACGGTCAGGACGATACCAGCAGTCCGAGGAAAAGTGGCCGCTGTCGCGATTGTGGCAGTGCTTGCAGTAATGGCGAGTATGATCCTCCGTACAGCCACGAACACGACACTGGCGGCGACCCTGTGCAACAGAAGGGCACAGGGGGAAAGAAAGGAGAGGTCACTCGTGTGTTTGGCTGTACGTGCGGCGAGGCTTACTCGGCGAGAGGCAGAGCCGGTGTTGTTTCTGGGAGCCACGGGAGCGAAAGGCATGGTGACACTCACGGACACAGGAGAAAAGCGGAATGTTCAGGAAAGGAAAGAACGGAAGGAAGAAAAGCGAACGGAAGTTGACTGGGCCCAACGGCCAACGGCGCAAATCGGTTTCACGATCATTCGCAACCCGTCTACCTGATTCACAATGAGTGAGGGGATGACGAGATCTTGACAGATCTTTGCCGTCGGATGTCGCGAGAAGGTGAGAGCGAGAGAGCGCGTCTTCTTACACGCCATCCGACCAACACGCACACCTCTCACCCTCTGTGTGTGTGTGTGTGTGTGTGTTCAGGCGTGAGGTCTACGAGGACCTGCTCGTTCTGGCGACAGGTTCGTATTCAAACGGAACGTAGCTGGTTCTGGCAAGTTGGTCGATTCTTTGTTTGCTTGTCTGCAGGGGCATTGTAGGAACGGCGAAAGTTGCGATTGGCCTCACGCAGGAATCCCCCAACTCTGTCAGAGGGGGAGCACTTGCAATTTACGTGAGGAAGAGGACTGGTGACCACCTTCATGTTAAGTTTTCACGGTTGCTTGTGTTCTCCAGGGTCCTGGTATGGGTGGACCTGTCCATACGCACACTCTCAAGAGGAAGTGGAGCTCTTCAGTCGGTCCCGGAATGACCCACGACAAGCACAAGCGCCACTGCCGCATGCTCACTCCGCACCACCACCTCCTCGGGCACCTCCTCAACCACAACAAAACGATGAAGGCTATGGTACGAGTTTTCCTGATGCAGAAAAGGCGGGAATGAATCTAGCGGCAGCGGAGGGCAGCGGTGCGACGGAAGAAACCAATACAAGGTAGGAACAAGCAGAGAAACAAAGCGATGTGTCATCATCAGCCGTTATTTCTCTTCATTAGTTGTCCTTAGCGTTCTCGTTGAGAGACCTTCTTCATCGTCTTCAGCCCAGCAGCCTGACCCTGCCCCCTCCTCTTTTCCTTGCGAGGACACTCCCTCGGGGACGGACAACGGACACACGATCGGGGCTCCCCGCTCAAATTCCAGCCCGATGCCGCCTCTCCCTGCTGCATCCCGGGATGACCAGGAGGCGCGTGGTCATGATACAGATGCCACCTCTTCCGTTGAGGGACTTTCTTCGCCGAACTCTTCTTCGGCACAGCACCCTGCCCCTCTTCCTTCCTCTCCCTCTTCCCTTCGCAGGCTCCCCTCTTCAACGGCTACCGAGATTTACGTTGGGCCTGAGAGCAAAGCAGCTCCATCGGTGTCCCACCTGCCACAACCTCCTTGCGCTGAATGCACTGAGGACGAGGAATCGCGTGGACATGGTCCCAATGGAACAGACGTGAGTGCAGCTGACGAAGTGGAACACCACCCAGCGAGGTATGCAGAACCTAAGATACCCAGACTCCTGTGTGTGTTTTGTCTGTGCAGTTGGTGGAAAGGGCGGCCCGGCGTGAGGCAATTCTGCGGCGGCCGGTCTTCACAGGGCCTGACGCCCCGGGCACGCCACAGAGTGAGAGGGATGAGGAGGCCGGGCTGTGGGTCCCGGACCCAAGGGAGATGGGCGCGGTCGGCCGGCTTCTGCAGCTGGCCGACCGCATGGATCTCATCTACAATCCCCGGCGCTCCACCATGGGGACGGGGCCCATGTTTGTGGAGGAAATCCCTATTAGACGTAAGACAAAGGCAACAGAATGACTTGCAAATGACCTGCCTACCATCCTTTTCACTGCATCTTTTGTGTGTCTCGTTCTGCAGACATAGAGTGGGACGACCGGCTAGAGCTGGGGGCGGGAGCATTTGGCGTGGTAAGTGGATTGGCTGAGTCATCTGTGACGTGCGATGGTCTGCATTTGTCATTTTGCCGCTGTCAGGTGGAGAGCGGCACGCTGCGGAGGACACAGCGGGTGGCAATGAAATCGGTGTTTCTCTCAAGGCTGAGAGGTGATGGGAGGACTCATCATCATTGTGCGTGTCTCTCTTGTCTGCCTGCCTGCCTGCCTACCTGCAGACCCCCCTGAAGAGCCGGAAATTGAGGAGATAGACAACTTTCAGAGAGAAGTAGAAACATACAGGTATCCACCAATGCAATCTCTCTCTACAGCAGCGACACATAAACTGTCTCTTTGGTTATTGTGACAGCTACATGGACCACATCAACGTTTTGAAGATCATAGGAGTAGTTCGGCACCAGGGGATGTGACTTTGCACGCCCCCCGCACGTGCATTGTGGTGGATTTCATTGACGGCCGTAAGGGAAATAATGCATGCGATACACACGTTGACGTTGATGACATGCATGGCGTGTCTCTCTATGTGCTCTCTGACAGACACGCTCAGCACCCGCCTCAGACCGCCCCCTCCCCCGCCACCACCAACGCCTTACATCCCATCCCATCCCCTGCCCCCTGCCCCCGCCACCCCCGACGCGCCAACAACGGCTCAGTTGGGCCCAGCAGATGGTATGGGAATTATTTTGTCTTCGTTCTTGTCGGATTGAGTGTGTGTCTCTTGATCTTTGTTTGATGTCTGCAGGCGCGGGGCATCCACTACATCCATCAACGGGGATTTGTGCATCGTGACATCAAGCCTGACGTGAGCTATCACGCCATTCAATACGCACACGCGTTCGTGGAAACCGTCGTGGCTCGTGTCCTGACTGTGCGTCGCTCAGAATGCACTGATTCGGAAGGCGGACGGGCTGCTCAAGATAGCCGACTTCGGGATGGCAGAGCGGATTCAGGTATGTCAGGAATGAGAACCAGATACAACGTACACACAAACGTACACCACAGCAGAGGACAGAAGCGAATCCCGTGTCTCTGCGTTCGTTGCCTTTGTTGGCGTGGTGTGTGTGTGTGTGTGTGTAGAATGGGAGGGTGTATCCCCCGGACCCAAGGGGCGGCACCCTCAACTACATGGCACCGGAGATTTAGCAGCGGCGAATCCTCACCCCAAAAGTGGACATTTGGGCATTTGGTGAGCCCAGCGCTATTCACCTTGAAGATGGTCTATGAACGAGGCCGCTTGGGTGCGCTTTTCTCGCTGCGTGCAGGCTGCTGTCTTATTGAGATATCCGGGGGGGGCATTCCTTGGCGGGAGTTTCTGAATTGCGAGGGCTGGGATAGGCATGGCGTCATCAATGCCGTAACCCTGCAGCGGCGCCACCCTCGGGTGCCCGCCGGGTGGCCACAGGTCGTCCGAGACATTGTGCCTAGCGTAAGTATACCATACGACACACGAACACAGACGAATACCGTCACTTGCAAACAGTGGCGGATACTCTGGTCGGTGCGTGTACTTGTCTGGCTGCAGTGCCTAGAGTATCGGCCGCATGATCGCCCCCCAGCGCCGGAGAGGTTCTGCATCGTGTGGAGCACCTGACGCTTGCCGCAATCACTTCCACCCCCAGTGCCTCAAGCGGCTCTTGCCTGGATACCTGCACCCCCTGAATGGCCCCTCGCCCGTCACAACTTCCCTCCCTACACGGTCGACCTTGACACCGACGACGATGCGCTGCCCACCTGCGAGGAGTCGCCGCTCATCTACAAGAAAGGCGACGTGGTGCTCATGCTGCCGATCGCGGTGGCCGAGGATGTACCGGAGGAGCCTCGGCGACCGCCGAAGCAGCGTGTCGATCAACGTTGACCTCTACTTTTCGACTGCCGCTAGCATGGTGGGCCTGAAGACGGCCGAAGGGGTAAGGCATTGTGTGGCGCCTGTGAGCGATGCCGCCGCCGATCCGTCGAGCGTCGTTGGCGTGTTCGCCCGGGCGGCCGACATGAGCCAACGGTCTGATGTGCTGTGGAAGGTGAGAAAAGCGGGGGAGATGGACAGACAGACAGACAGACGGACAGACGGACGGACGGACGGACGAACAGAGTGACGGATGGATGGGTCTCTGGGTGGTGTGTGGTGCAGGTATAAGGACACCGCTGCCTACATTTTATATCTCATGGGGACTGTACTCATTGCACCGCACACCCCAAGGAGACGTAGGCGAACCAATGAGCAGCACGGGCAAGGAAAACGTGTAGGACAGACATGTGCAAACAGAGTGAGACGAGAAAGGCGACGCAGACAACGAGCAGCAGCCAAGATGAGACGCAGAGACAGCGTACCTGCACGCCATGGACGACGAGCATCGGCCCTGCCCACCTGCGACAAATAAGTCAATCGCCTGACCGAATGGTGGAGGTACACTGTAGACATCGGCCTAAGGCATTCCGGCACGAGCATGTATTCATATTCATATGGTGCTTAAGTGAGCTGATTGATATCACGTTGAAGCAACATACGCAATGACAGTTTTTTTTTCACGCACAGGGTCCAGATCGTATACGTGGGATTGGAAGTGAGCTGACCTTTACATGCAGCAGCTCCAAGCCGACGGTACAGCCAATGACGGAGACACAAATGGATTCATGGCAGCTGGCGCATTCACTGACTCGCGTGGCCAGACAGTGCCAGATAAGAGACGGTGGAACGGTAGATACACACTTATACCATCGAGGAGCTTCCCTCCCACGCAGTCAGATGACATACACACTCACACACACTCCAGGTATCTGAAACATGCCTCTCGGGCACAGAAAGCTCTCTCTTCCGCACCCACCACAACATTTACATACACACACGCACACACACATACAAACATACAGACATACACCCAGGCACCCCAAAGGCAGGCACCCTAGTAGACTTGCAGGCTGCATGCGTCCCGAAGGATCTCTATCCCACATTTCCAAGCCTCCCTACCCATCACGCCTCCGCGCGCCTCACCAAGGCTCAGCCCCATACACGTGCATCTCTCTACCGCAGCTCTCTGTCACACGAAGGAACAGCCAGAAGTCAAGTCAGCTGTCTGGCTGTGTGAGATTATTCTCCTCCTTGTAGATCCTGGCTGCCTCGGCGGGCGCCATGTTGGGCTTCACAATGTCAGCACCCATCAGACCAGACGACTGGAACACCTGCACAACAAGCAACCAACCAGCAAGCACCGCACTGCAGTGACAGGCAATTGGGTCAACGCACCCTCTCCCTCCCTCCCTCCCTCCCTCCCTGTCTGTCTTGTTCTGCTCACCACGACAAACTCCTTGTGCGGGTCGTAGCTGTCCAGCCGCCTCCTAACTTGAGCCAAATGGCTCTCCTCCTCCCGGCTGCCGGCCTTCTTCGAGAACTTCTCAGCCGGCGCGTACATGGTCGGCGCCACATCCATCTTGGTGGCCTTTGTCGCTGTGGCCGCTCCGTCCCCTCCCTCTCCCTCTCCCTCCTGCTTGAGCTCATGATAGACCATCACGGCGCCCCTGCCCATCTTCTCATAGCCCATCCACGCCTGTGCGCACCACGAGAAGCCGCTGGCCCTGACGTTTTCCTGATAGCTCTTCTCCCACAGCTGCTGTTGCTCCATTGGCGTCAGTTGAGAGCCGCCGTAGCTGAACTGGAACCGAGGCCTCCGCTCTGTTTTCGGCCCAAAGCCCTCACCGGCGGCGCGCAATGATGATCCGTGGCGGCTGAAGCGCCTCCTTGGTGAGAGATCAGCGACTGGGATGAATGCCCCTGCGGAATGCCAGCCACAGGAGATCTCTCGGCGCCGTTCCGATGGAGATGAACTGAAGGCGTCAGCAAGGCATGCCGAGAGAAGCGCCAGCAGCAGCGCCATAACCGAGATGACCGCGTTCATTTGGTCCTCACTTCTGAGCTCGCAGATTGCGAGCTGGGGGGTGCTCTCTGTGCATGTGGAGCGTGCGTGGGTGATTCCTGTTGCGTGTCGTCGTTTGACTGTGCGTGAAAGACATGGGACTTGGCCGCCTGGCCGCTTAGGACATTCTGTGAAATCGCTCCCCCCGCGAGCTGGGGGGTAGGGTGAGAGGGGAGGTGCCATCGCGAGGGAGGCACCGAGAAGCGAAGCGTACCGATACCCATCGAAGCCGACCCTCTGAAGAGGGGATCTTCACCTGAGCAAACATGGTGAGCCACCAACGCGCTAGGGAGGCAGATGGTGCCGTTCTGCAGCAGTGCCGCTGCCGCGCCACACAGAGAGAACGGGCCGATAGGGGAGTGGGAAGCACGCTGCAGCGAGGGCAGGCAGGCGTCTGGGCAGTCCGTGCGGTGATGTCTCTGTTGCGTATGTTGTGTGTGTTGCGTGTGCTGTGTGGTTCAGGCTGACGATGAGGTTCATGACTTTGAGGGTGGTGGTGGCGAGTCTGGCGCCTCCCACACCTTCCCCATGCAAGCCGGCAACTTGAAGAAGAACGGATTCGCCATGCTCAAGGACAAGCCCTGCAAGGTGGGTGAGGAGGGCGAGGGAGGGAGGGAAACCCCCACCCACCACACACGATGAGCGTCGATTGTGGTGCGTGTGTGTGTGTGTGTGTGTGTGTGTGTGTAGATAATGGAGATAACGACGAGCAAGACGGGGAAGCACGGTCACGCCAAGGCGCACATTGTGGGTCTGGACATCTTCACCGGCAAGAAGTACGAGGACCTGTGCCCCACCTCACACAACATGAGCGTCCCCGTCGTCAACCGAGCCGAGTTTCAGGTAGGTAGCTCATCACTGGCCGGGCCGCCCCGCCCACACACACTATCCTTACACCCAGCTCAGCTCAGCTCAGCCCATTGTACTCCTGTGTGGGTGTGCAGCTGATGGACGTGAACGAGGAGGGGTTTTGCACCCTCCTGCTTGAGTCCGGCGACACCAAGGAAGACCTCAAGCTACCCCAGGGCACCGATGAGGACGGAAAACTCGCCGAGACGGTGCGCACACAACTCTTCACACACACCGACCAGGCCGACCACCGGGAACCACTCTCTGGGTGTGGTGGGCTTGTGTCTGGCTGCAGATCCGCGACAAGGTGAAGGAGGGCAAGGAGGTGTTAGTGACGGTGCTGTCGGCCGTGGGGCAGGAGAAGATCGTCGGCTACAAGGAGATGACGGGATCTGGATAGACAGACAGCGCGACGGATGGCGGGTCGGGCCGGGCAGCGGCGCGGAGGCAGGCAGGCACATACATACTACGCATGACCACCGATCGATGTATGTATTGCTGCTAGGCCCTTCCTCTCTGCCTGCCTCGCTGGGTCCGGTCCGCCCGGCGCTGCCTGGCCTGGCTGTGTCGTCTGTCTGTGTCTGTCTGTCTGTCCGCCTACCTCTCCTGTCTGGCTATCAATCTCTTCTCCCTGCTTGCCTGTGGCCCCCCAGCTGGCTATATCTATCTTAGTCACCGTTGCCGATGCTTTCTTTTCTTCCCTCTCCTGCTTCCTGCGTCCTTTTCGTTTCGCCTCGCCTCGCCTCGCCTCGGACAGCCATCCTGTCAATGACACTTCCGTCGATCTGTGTGTGCATCATCCACCGAATTGCAATGGCGGCGAGGGCGGGAAGGGTCGAGTGCGTGGCTGGGTTACATTGGAGGGCGTGGCGGGGTGCGTGTGGATGTGATGTATGGGCGTGGCGTGGCGTGGCGTGGTGTGTGTGGGGGTGGGGGTGTGTGTGTGAATGACACCGATCCGGTCGCGTGGTCCCTTCCTGCTTCCTTCCGTGTTGCTTTCTTCTTGCCCTTTTGGACCGTGTTCGTCGCAATGTAGGCGGCGGGGCGAGCAAGGGAATGAATCCATGAGGATCGATCGCATGCAATGACATGTGGATTGGATGCATCCAGGGGCCTTTCTGATGGATGGACCATTGAATCATTCAATGGAGGGCTGCCTGTGCTGTGTGTGGACCAAGCAGCGAGCAAGCACACTGGGATGCGGCCCGGCTGAATTCACTCACACACCGTATGAGGACATGTGCGTGTGGTGTTGGTGTGGATGTCTGGTGGACGGACGACGGATGCTAACGCCTATACATAAGATAAGGGACTACGAATGGATGGATGGGCTCAATGTTTTCAATTTTGGGGCAGACAGAAGTCAGAGGCATCCTGTATGCACCATCTAAGACACATATTGTAGCCCACAACTCCACAAAGCGAGACACATCCAATGGACACACAGACCGACCGGTGCCTGGTCAGCATTGTCTCCCTAGCCCGTTTCATACTGGCTGCCCTCGCGCCACGACCTCTCGCTTGCCTGGTCTACACTGCTTACATCCTCGTCCGTGAACGACTCGTTCTGACTGTCCAGCGCCTCACCCGACTCTTCCTCGTGATCATTCACCCGCCCCGGCCCCCCTGGCTGCCCCTGCCCCTGCTGCTGCTGTTGCAGCTCTTTCTCCAGCCTCTTTATCTTCTCATCCTGATCCTTACACGGCTGCCCTTCCTTCTCTGTGGTGGATGTCTCTTCTTCATCTTCCTCTTGCTCTTCTTCTCGTTCCTCCTCTTGTTCCTCCTCTCCCTGGTCTTCTTGTTGCTCGGGGGAGGGGGAGGGCGAGGGCGATGGGTAAGCCAGCTGCGGAATGTCATGTGTTCTCCTTGCCGGCTGCTGCAGTGTCTCACACCGATACCCAACGTAGCCGTCCTTGCACTTGCAGCCGCCCAGCATCTGTATGTGACGGAGACAGACACACGAGTGAGCAAGGTACGCAGGGCAACATGTGATATTTTGCTGTAACATACTGGGTCACATGTCTTTGGCTGACATCCTTGTGAGCAGGCGAGACAATCAGGCCCCCATTGCGACTCAGGACAGCAGAATGGCCCGTATGTCCTGTCAAACCCTGACCGTGGAAAGCGATGGCATTGCTGTGCTTTCGATTCAGCCCTTTGTTTGTGCGTGCCTCTTCTGTTCTGTTCCTCACCCACATTTTTCGCAATAGGCGTGAGCGTTGATGGTGATGAAGCACTCCTTGCACAGGCGTTGTAGGCGTTCAGGGCACTCGACATGACGATGAGGGTCTAGTGGTGGATCCTCTTCCTTGGTGAAGGGCTGGCCGTCTTCTGCCCGGACAAAGAAGCCTCGACTGTTCATCACTCCCATGACTTGCACCCGATCACCACTGCCACTCTCGAGTAAGCTGGCCGGAGGACCCCCGTGGAGCAGCGGTTGTCGCCTTCTCCTGCTCGATGTGACTTTCGCCCTGTACCGTGCAGATCTCCTCTCCGTGTGGGCTGCGGCCATCTATGTGGCGGCCAAGAGAGTCACTGCAAAGGCCAGCCGCATCATTCATGTGATGGGTCGGCGATCGATCTGGGGGCGGTGGGGGCGGATGTGCCGATCTACCAGTCCAGCCTGAGGCCAAATTCAGCAGATGCATGCAGATGGGGGCGAGACTGGGGGTGCTTCGTCTGGCAGTCGAGTCCGCGTGAGTCAGGTCAATGGCGTTCCTGCTGCTGTTTGCTCTGGCCGTCTCCGGCTTGCAGTGCACCGGCGCAGCGGTCGTTGGCCGCCACGCCAATCTCAATGTGACAATGCGCTCGACAATGCGCGCGGCGGCGCCGGCACCTGCTGTGCCGCCGTCTCCCCCTCCCGCAGTGTCCCTCCAGCTCAAACGGAAGGGCGGGGAGGGGGACAAGTCGCCCTCGCCCAAGAAGCCCAGGTTCGGGGGTGATGGGCCGTTTGCGAAGCAGCAGGCGGGGCTCGTCTACAAAGGATTCTACGAGGTGGCGTCAGGCGAGAGGGATCCGGCCAACCGCCGGGAGGAGGGCTTCAAGAAGCTCATCGACAAGGCCAAGAATGCTGGAGGGGGCCTGGTGGAGGGCGCCCCTGACCCCAACAAACCTGTCTTCTTCGATCAATGCCACGGTGATCGCAAAACGCACAGCGCACATGCAGACCATACATAGATCGTCCGGCCCTTCACATGTCTCATGTATGTCTCGTCTTTGGTGATACATAGTCAACAGGTGGCTGTCGGGCAAGGCCCCCGGGTACGTCAGTGAGAGTGTGGAGGGACACATGCGAGAGTACAGGCATGCACAAGAGAGTGTCTCTCTCTGTCTGCCCTGGTGTATTGCAGCTACTGTGACCCAGCGCTGGAGTACTCAGGGTCGTTAGACAGCCACGTGCTCGAGGGCGGAAAGAAGGCCGTCGATATCGTGACCGGGGAGAGTCCTGATCCGAATCTCAACAACCAGCTCCGTCACACCTTCACACCCACAGACCCAAAGGAGCCCATCCTCAGGTACGTACAAATCACATCCACCACGAGTCTCACGGGTCCCGTGTGTCACTCAGCCCGTGCACAGCGTTGTATGGAGCGACAAACACAGGCCTGATGGAAGGCGATATCATGGGCGCCCATCCTCTCGCGATCCCCCGCATCAAGAGCCTGGTGAAGAATCTCCACGCGAAGACGTGGCTGCTCCCCGAGAACATCCACCTCACCAGCAGGCACAGCATACAAGGGTTCCCACTCGATATGCCAGTAAACCCGCGGCATTGCACCGGTGTCCTCGGGAGAGGCGGCCTTGGCAAGTGGGGGCCAAACAATGCCGCAGATTCGATGCTTCGCTCGTCAGAAAAAACTGACACAAATTCAGCCCCATCAATCACTTGTCTGCATGCATCTCTTCTTGTCTGTGTGCTTCAGTTGTTCCGCAAGGTACCTACCGCACCTCAGATCTTGACTCTTCCTTTACTTGGCCTGTCACCTTGTTCCGCAAGAATCCCACGACTAAGAAGCTTGAAGTCCTGCTCATCAAGCGCTCCGATAGCGGCGACTGGGCGTTCGCTGGCGGCATGGTCGACGACCAGGTGCGTGGGGAGAGACCAGAGGGACACACATATCTGTCTGTACTCAAAAACGTCAATCTGCCCTACGCATGCATGTCTTGATTGTACAGGAGTACATGACCCCCGTCACAACTGCCGCACGGTGGGGCGTAAGCGTGAGGCTAGCTTGCGCTCGTGTCTTTCCCGATCGATCATGCCTGCAGGGAGCTGATTGAGGAGACCCTCACAGGCAAAGACGCAAAATCCATCTGCGACAACTGGAGCACCATCAAGAAAAAGAAGAGCCTTAAGGTCATGATGACCACAATGGGCCTGGACGTGGGCAAGGGAGACATCAAATTCGCCTGCAAGGGCGGCGAGGACAAGTGCAAGGAAGTCGACTGCGAGGCGGCGGTCTCCGAGGAAGGTGTCCAGAAGCTGCTGAGCTCGGCTGCACTGGTGTACGCAGGATACGGTACGTACGTACATCGAGAGATACGTACAGGAAAGGATACCAACGTTGGTACAAATGTACTGATTCCCTGAGTGGATCGATGGCTCACCATTTACTCCTGCGTTCGTTCAGTTGACGATCCCCGCAACACCGACAACGCCTGGATGGAGTCGTTCGCTTTGGCATGGATGGTCCCTGACGACCTCGCTGACCGGGTCACCGACCTGCCTGGAGGGTCCGACTCCACCGAAGGTCGGTGACAGTGACACGCCCATGCATACGTGCAAACCGACGACTTCTCGTCTGCATCTGCATGTAATGTTGATGGATACAGTTGCCTGGTGGCCCATCCACAAATCGATCCCCAAGGGCAGCGGGGAGGAGGCCCCGATGCTCAAGGACGGGACGCTATTCGCCAGCCACTCGTTCTTTCTGCGCGCCGGCACCCACGCCCTCCTTGAGCTCCCCAAGGTGCGAGGCACCATTACCAACTACGCTGCTATCCAGAAGGCGTTGGCGAAAGGTGAGTGAGTGGGGGGAGGGGGCTGGTTCTTGATTCGATGGTTTGTGCATGCTTGCAGCCGAGAAGCAAAGCCCCTACAATCTCTACTTGAAGTGAGTACACGTCGATTCATCCATGTCGCAT